ACAATTAAAATGCAGAACCACCATCACTCAGAACTGTCAGAAATCTAGTTGAATGGAAGTCTGACAGCTATGGAATTAAAGAAATCACATCCATCCAGACTAGTAGAAGGGGCTCAAATGCAAAATGGGATGATCCCACATCCACATGCAGTGGATAAAATTCAGGAGGAATATCTTGGGAGCGAGGAGTCCCAGAGCCACATCAGGCCCCCTGGCCCAGGGTTCAGTGACAGGAAGATAAGTCCCACAACTTCTAGCTGCAAAAACCAGTGGGTATGGAGTCAGTAGAAGAAACTTCTGGAGCCCCAAGCAGTTCCTCTTAAAGAATCCACCCACAGACTCACCTACTCACACTCACTGCCTCTGAGTTCCAGCACCAGGGTAGCAGTTTGAAAGACCAGTGGCATATAGGGAGGAACTGAAGTGTCTGGGCAGGAGCTGGGGGACAGCTTTCTCCCAGGCAGAAAGGCAGGCAAAGGCCACTGTCCTTTTCTAAACCCTCCCCCGCAAAGAACCACAAAGCCAACAGGTGGGTGCCATATCTGAGACTCCATCAACCTGGCTAACACTGTTTGAACCATCTTGGAGATCCCCAGAGATTCCACCCCACCCAACACAGGCCCTACCAAAGATGCTTTTCCATATGAATGGCTGGTCTTGGCTCATGCTTCAAAACTTCTTAAATCCTCTCAAACAAGTAAGAGCCAGCCTCAATGAGCCTCGGACCCAGCACTAGCAGTAGCCAGTCTAGATTCATAGCTTGGTTTCACCCAGGGATCTCCAAGCCCAGCACAAGTAGCAGCCTCCTCAGATTGCTTTATAGCTCAGGCAGCATGGGCCCGGGCAAAACACAAATGGGGGCTGACCTTGGCCTGAACCACCTGGGAAACCCCAGGGCCAGCATACCCCGTGGACAGCTACAGAGCACATAAGAGCACCTCCAACCTGCCGCTCCACAGCTTATCCTCCACAGAAAGTGGAAGTTGATAGTAAATGGTCACAGTCAATCCTTGCAGCTGACTGACCTGGTAAATCCCCTCCCAATGATCTTCCAACAGCAACCAAGGCTCAACTATAAGAGGAGGGTGTACTCAGCCCACATCAAGGGCGTGCCTCGAGTACCCAGTGTGGGTGATAGGGAAGGCTGCACCACTGTACCCTACATGACACCTACTACATTAGGCCATGATACCATAACAGGCAGTTATAACAGCTCTACCTAATACATAGAAACAAACACAGGAAGGCTGCCAAAATGAGGAGACAAAGAAACAGGCCCCAAATGAAAGAACAGATCGAAACTCTAGAAAAAGTAACAAAACGGAGATAAGCAATCTATCAGATGCTGAGTTCCACACACTGGTTATAAGGACGCTCAAGGAACTTAGTGAGGACGTCAACAGCATAAAAAAGATCCAGTCAGAAATGAAAGATTCACTGATTGAAATAAAGAACAATTTACAGGGAAACAACAGTAGAGTGGATGAAACTAAGAATCAAATCAATGACTTGGATCATAAGGAAGCAAAAAACAACTAATCAAAACGAGAAGAAAAAAGCACCTCTAAAAACGAGGACAGTATAAACAGCCTCTGGGACAACTTCAAAAGGTCCAACATTCACATCATACAGGTGCCAGGAGAAAAAGCAAGAAACTGGATATCTATTTGAAAAAATAATGGAAGAAAACTTCCCTAAATTCATGAAGGAAATAGACATTCAAGTCCAGCAAGCACAGAGAGTCCCAGTTATGATGGGTGCAAAGAGGCCCACTCCAAGACACATCATCAATAAAATGCCAAAGCTAAAGATAAAGAAGGAATCTTGAAAGCAACAAGAGAAAAGCAGACAATTACCTACAAAGGAGTTCCCATAAGACTGTCTATTGATTTCTCAAAAGAAACTCTGCAGGCAAGAAGAGATTGGCAAGAAATACTCAAAGTCATGAAAAGCAGGGACCTATAGCCAAGATTGCTCTACGCAGCAAAGCTATCATTTAGAATCAAAGGACAGCTAAAGAGCTTCCCAGACAAGAAAATCTAAGAGAGTTCACCATCACCAAACCATTTTTAATAAGAAACGTTAAAGAGACTATTTAAGAAAAAGATCAAAACTATGAACAATAAAATAGCAATAAATACACATCTATCAACAATAGAATCTAAAACACAAACTAAACAAACAAGAAGAGAGAGAATCATGGGTATGGAGAGCATTCTGATGATTGCCAGATGGGAGGGAGGTGAGGGAGAATGGGTGAAGAGGTGAGAGGATTAAGAAGTACAAATAGGTAGTTACAGAATAGCCATGGGATGTAAATTACAGTACAGGAAATAGAGTAGCCAGAGAATTTATACACATGACCGATGGACATGAACAAGGTGTGGGTACTGCCTGAGGAAACGGAGGGTGCTGGGTGGAGGGGGTCAAAGGGGAAAAAATCAGGACAACTGTAATAGCATAATCAATAAAATATAATTTAAAAATATAGGGTATTAACTATTACAGCACCTCTGTATGATTTAAATACTGTGGTAGAAACATAAAATTCATAAACTTTTAACCAAATATTATATGAATGACAAAGTTTAAAAAATTATTTTTTTATTTTAGTACAAATATATATTATACATATGTATTCCACATATAATATGTGTGTGAAAAATAAAAAGAGGGAAGGAAGGAGGGAGAGGGACAACACTAGGTAATAAAATTCTAGGTAACTTTAATTTTCTTCTTTGTAAAGTCAAAAAGAAACTAAACAAACAGTACAAAGCTTAAGAACTATTAGATACTGTAGGGAACTGCCCTGCCTGGTTTCAGAAGCTGTAATGCCCCATGGCTAAGGCTGAGTAAAGGACCTTGGGACCATAAGCCACTGAGGAGACAAAGCTTGTCCTCCTTGTAGGGGCACCGCCTCTGCCCCTTTTCTCTTCACTCTGCTTGGCCCCGGGCAGATGACTCGTTAGCCAATGACAGGTAAGATTCCTCAAAAAAGGGACGACCTAAGACAGGAACAGTCACCAAGGGGCCCTCAGGGAAGGACTTGGGGGGCTATAGAAAAAGGGGGTAATGCACCCTTGCCCCTCAGCTTTGACATAGCCTGAGTCCTCATTCTGTCTGCAAGAAGTCTCCTAACCTCTTGGCTGCCTTACTTCCCAGGCCTGAGGTAAGCCTGAAACAATGCCTTAAGCCTGAAAGAACGCCGGTTGTGGGTGCGACCCTGTGCTGGAAAGGGCGGGTTCCCTAGGGCAATCAGGCCTAAGAAAGAATGCATAAAATCCTATGAAACCTACTTTGCTAATACCCTCAATTTAAATGATAAAGGCCCAAGCAGGAAGTGAGTTTGTACCCCAAAGTTTTATGGCCCTTTAACTATCTGACCCTGACTCAGAATAAGCCTTCAGAGTTCTCTGAATGTTATCTATTGTCTAATCATTTCTGGCCGACAGTGACTGATGAGCTTTACATATATACCTTGTATTCCTACGCAAACTGACCCCAGTAAAAGTTTGTCAAGGCAAGGGCCGAGGCACTCTCCTCTTGAAAGAGTGGCCGAGGTGCTCCGAGGCTTACTCTCCCCTCAAGAGAGTGGCCACACCATCCCTTTTCCTCCACAGGACTCAGCAGTCCATGTGAATCTGTCTCGTCTCATCCATAACACCACAGACCCCAGAAGCCGGGATCCGTGTCAAGATACCAAATGCAGCTATGTAAAATTTCAATCTGCCTCTTGGAATTAGGATTTATTATAGTCTAAACTTAGACAAAAATACCTAATTTTGTGTAGAAATGAGAAATCCAGGTCATTCTAACATGTGGCCTGAGTTGAGAACCACTACCCATAAATACACATATATAGCACAAACTGCACTCTAAATATCTTTAGATAACTGAAACATAAAAGAACTTTTAAAAAATAAAAAAACATTTTGCTTGTATATTACCTGTTAAAGAAATAAAATTCTCAGTAGAATGGGAAAAAAATATCAGTCCTTGTCAACTGGGAGCTGGCCTAGCACTATTAGCTAGGCCTTGGTCTACCCATGTTAAATATAAAGAAATTTACAGAGCACCAACATCAGAAAATGGATCAAGATAAAAACAAGACCATTCCAAGATTACGCCTAAACCATAGACAACAGCATGAATGTTGTCCTAACCAAAAAAAAAATTACCAGATAAAATCCTATGCTGGATAATATGAATTACTGGTACTTCTTTAACCATCATAGCTTTAGCCTTGCTCCATTCTTCTCACCTTCCAGGTTCTTAAAATACCTAGTCACAAAATTACCCCCACTTCCTAAAAGCATCCAATCCACTGCAAGGCTCTTCTTTAATTCCTCCCCAAAATCACTGGTCACAAGTGGAAATCCTATAAGGTTCACCATGATATATATTTTCCCTTTTTACAGTTAATCAATACATTCATCTCGGTTAACGACAGATGTGTTCCTGGGAGTCTTCCCTGGAGGACATTGAAAGTGTTGGGGCCAAAAATTTGAGTACAGGGTGGGACTTGGAGTAAAATAATAAAATTACATAAAAATACCCACATTCTATAGAACTGATAATGTCTACCTAAAGGGATCTTTTGATATGTAAATTTAGCCTATAAAGAGTTCCCTCAAATTCAAAATTCCCAGTGTTTATCAGCACTGGTGATGCTAATTCAATAATAAAATTTTAATTAAATTCTCAGTGAATCAGTTTTCCATCTTACCTAAACAAAATAGAAATATCAGTATAACAAGTGAAAGGCAAATGAAGAAACTAAAGCCTGAACATAATACATTATATAATAAAATGCTCTAATTTAGGTACATTATTTAGTTTAATAAATTAACAATTTAAATAAATTAGTTCCTCATCGGGAGGAACTAAATATAATAATGTCATTAAAATTAATAATCTACCTGAAAAATGAGCATGCTTCAGTAGTATTTGAACTTTACCTTCTCAATCACCAAAGTGAACCCTGGCCAATGTGTCCTTACCTCCTGGGTCCTTATCTGGATTGTACTCTAAGGCGTTGCTACAGATGAGGTCAATATCCTTCAGGAAATCCTTAGCAGTCAGGTAATTATGCTTATCAATTTTAGTTATTACTGTTGATAAATCCATCGGTTCCTTGATTACCTCAAGATAATCTGAAACCTAAAACAAATAGGATATTTTAATGAAAATTACCTACAGTATTTCATATACCTACTAATAAAAACACAGAAGAAAACCATGTAGTTATTTAAAAATTTGGTCTACATATCTAAGAAATAACTTGATAAGGATAAAATTATAGAGCAAATTATGCTACTAAAGGTACCATATCATACTTTCCATGAAAAGCTTCAGTTTCAAATCATATCTAAATCAACTTTGAAATGTTCTCATCTTGAAATATGAAACCAATTGTATCAGCTTTCTTTTAATCCTTTCAACACACCTGAGAAGAGAATGCATGGCTAAAAGCACTAATAAGCATCAATAAATGTTACCTCAAGAAAAACCTCTTCAAGGGAAAATAAAATGAAATAATGTGGGTTTTTTCACATTAAAACCAGTTCTCTGATAAATCTCTTTACAATCTTTAAACAAAAACATAAATTCTTTTCAGTTTAGAGTGAATCATTTCATGGAAAGTGTTTTTCTGCCCCTTTGGAGTCATTACATTTTCACTCAATTTTATAATAAAAATAAGTATTGCTTTCATGACTAGTAAAAGTATTTGCTGGACTTGTCCCTAAATATGAAAAAAAAAACAAAACACAAAAATATACATTTTGCTCTAAGTGTGGATTTTCTCGCAGATAACCCAAAATAGAAGATACTAGGTCATGATGTGCCCAATACATTATATGTTTTATATCACTTGACCCTGGCTGGTGTGGCTTAGTGGGTTGAGCACCAGCCTATGAAACAAAAAGATGCATGCCTAGCCTGAGTGGTGGGCCAGGTCCCCAGTTGGTGGCACACAAGAGGCCATCAACTGATGTTTGTCTCACACATTGATGTTTTTCTCCCTCTCTCTAAAAAATTAAATAAAATCTTATTTTAAAAAAAAGCTATAGCAACTTAAATATTTATTGCCTTTCCCAATGCAAATCTCAATCAGGTTACAAAAGCAGTCTAAGAAATGTCTCCTTAGTCCAGGACTACACTCTGGGGATAGAGGGATTTCTGTTCTAAAGTATTACAGGCTAGTTTTCTGCATTGCAGATGGCACTAATACCCTGGTTTTTAAAAACTTACATATATAAATGTGCATATATGTGCATACATGTTTATATCAATATATATGCACATATACATATTTTATATATGTTTTTTAGGCAGGTGTGTGTGCATGTTTTAATTTATTTTTCACCCTCTATGAGCTGAAAAGCCAGTTACTCTCCTAGGGGAGGCAGCAAAGCTATATTGAAGGAGCAATAGTTCAGAAGGTATTAGTTGGATTCTTGGCTCTGACACTTAGCATGCCTTGTGTACTTGTGGAAAACGTTTTATAAACCATAAAGCACTACAAAAATTCACATTACTACCTATGCTTAATTTTAAATTCACCATTTATTTTCTAAACTTTTGTGTGCTTTGCAGCCTCTTTTGGAATTTCAAAAAGTTTTAGACACCTCACATTTCATTGTTTGAATGGAAATTTTTGTGTTTTAGGTTATCTAAATGCTATCTTGTTTTCCCCCTCTATCCTTCCCAGAGACCCCTGTTTTTAGCTTTAAAAGCAGACAAAGAACCAGAAGTAGAAAGAAGAACAAACAGGAAACTAGAGAAAATATAGCCCTTAAATAAAAGTTTTCCTTGACTAACATTTTCTATCCCCTTCCACTGTCATACCATCACTTATAAAATAGGTATCACAGATGGCATTTGAAATCTGATAATCTCTTCTGGTTAGAAAGAAAAAGAGTTTTCCCTGGCAAAGGCAAATTGTTTCCTCCCAGCATGGGAAGCTAACTTGGGGGCAGTCCTTTATCAATTAAGTGTCAAAGTGTCATACCCAATTTGAAATAAAAATTAACACTTAAAACAATCTCTAGCTGGCTGGTGTAGATCAGTGGATTGAGCACGGGCCTGTGAACCAAAGGGTCGCCAGTTCCATTCCCTGTCGGGACACATGCCTGGGTTGCAGGCTAGGTCCCCGGTAGGGGGCATGCAGGAGGCAACCACACATTGATGTATCTCTCCCTTCTTTCTTTCTCCCTTTCCCTCTCTCTAAAAACAAATAAATAAAATCTTCAAAAATAATAATAATAAAGTAATATTTAAAGTGTGCTGGTAGTTTTAAGATTATCTGAAAACACTAGGAAGAAAAAACTGCTCCACAAATATAAGATGGTACGCATTAGTTACAAAAGCAAGTCCAACAAGTCATATCATTCCAGTGGGAAAAAGTAGCTAAAAGATCCTATAAAGAATGCGGCCTTTAAATTTTTAGAAGCTTTTTAGTCTTGGCTATATCACTTGCCACACTGCCTCAGTTTCCTGAGCTGTAACATAAGAATAATAATAAGGATCAAATGGATAAAACTGTATTGTAGATCAATATACAGATAAAATATAGACAGTCCCTTTATTCCAAAAATAAAAGGTGAAGGGGTGAATAGGTATTTTCAGACTTGCGGGGGGAAGTGGGGGGAGAAACATAATGCTAGCCCATTTTCCTAGTTATAGATGAAGTAATGGTTCCAAAGGAATTGGCTCACGTCCAAATGTACAGATTTCACAACAAGGATGCAACAGAAAACTTTGAATCATTTCATAATTCAAATTTTTAAAAATGTGAAGAAAAATTAAAACTAAAACACCAGAACTGTTCAAACATGGAGTCTGAACTATAAGAAGGTCAGTAAAGATTATATTGTGTTCATCCACATACTATATTATCCCAGGATAAAATAAAATCTGATTTACAGTATTATAATAGATTCCAAATGGAAAATTTCTTTCTGAGCATCACAGACCATACTCCCACAAGGACACAAAACAATGCACATAGAAAGTGAGAAATTTTCCACTAGGAGCAGAAAAAATCCTTAGGGAGAAAAATAATTTTAGCTGCATATGATGTGCTTAACTTCAAGTAGCACCTTAGTCACAGGCATTTCTAAAATATGAAAGACACATTTCAGGCTTCTTAGCCACCTCTTTCAATAAAGTATACATAATTTGGGAAATGCCAATATTAACTGGTATTGTGTTTAGTCAATGCCAATGTATTTTTTTGAGAGTAGGATTTATCCTGGAATAAAAATAGCCTAGTACAGACATTTCACTCAAGTAACTTTTAATCCTCTTCTTAAATGGAAAAGAGATCACAAAGATCAATACTAATTAAGAGGACATAAACAAATTGGTCACTAATTTCATCCAAAAGTCACCAGTTATTTGCTGATGACTTCGGTAGTTACCACATGGATTAAAATTTTACAGGCTAGGGGTAATTATTCATCCATGCCTTTGCTTTTTTTCCTTCCAAAAAAAGATGTCAATATTTTTTTTCTTTTAGCCAGTTCAACTTCACTGTTTGCACACTACTGAAACAAGACCTCTTCAATATCCACCGGTTTGCTGAAGATGTTAAAGCGTTTATCTGTGGCCAGCCTCTTGGTTACATCCCTGAGAAACAACCGCAACTCTCTTAAAGTATTTTCCTCCTGGTCCTCCATCCGAATTTTTTCTGATTCTGATAACTGACGAGGTGGAGAAGGTAGGGCAAGAGGAAGCACTTCCATAGCACAAAGACCTAAAGAAAATTGAAGAAAATGTTGAATCCAACATGACAGGGCCAGGACCTCAATTATTTTTCTGGTTCTTTTAAAGTGTTCTTTTAAGAAAAGGAGAATTCCAAATATAGGTGAACGATGCAAATCCAGCAAGTAAAAATTTGAATGGAAACCAGAAGTATGTTAGGGAATAGCTTCACTTTATAAAATAACTCATGGTAGGATTTCTTTAAAGGGCAAATGATATGATTTTAGATAATTTGATTTTGAAATAGTATTTACATAACTTACAAAAAATATTTCAAACCGAACATAAATATCTTCAGGTGAAGTACTACTGTATACTGATTTGCTTAAGTCACCTTGTTTAAAAACTGCTTCTCCAAATGGGGTTGACTTAAATGCACGAGAGTGAAATGGGCAAGTAACAATCTTTGATCTTTCCTGTTCCTAAAACAATTCTGATTTTAGTCTCTTATCCTCGAAGTCTTACTACAACATAGTATGGATATTAAGTGGCATCTGCTGGGAGCAAAAAAAGAAAAAAATAAAGTAGAAACTAAGAAAAAAAAAAAACAACAACTTCCAAACACACTGTAGGAAGACAGAAAACTGAGTCTAAAGTGTTATATATAAAATGTGTGGTATTCACTATCTATCCCCACAAAAAAAAAAAATCTTAAAAGATTAAGTATTAACTTTTAAAATCACAGTTCTCTTATTCCTTAAAAGATTTTTCTGGTATCACACTGAAGCTCAGGATTAAAATTCTAAGGATTTTTGCTGATTTCAAATAGCCTCTAAAATAAAACATGTAAGTCAACAGAAGCAATTCAAAAAGAGAAAGAATTATATTAATCCTTAACACAGAAAATTTAGGTCTATAAAACTAAAATATATCTAGAAGTATGCAAGATGCCTTATTAAAATGAACCACTTTCACAATGAAATATTTTAATTACTGTTACTTAGAAATATAGAAGGTGACAACCAATAATCACAAGGTGTAAGTTCCATATTGAATTTCCCAAGGGTTCTGGGTGGGGGGAGAAGCCCCACGATTAAAGGCATTTGATGGGTGTTCACTTTTAAACACTATAAAATGTGGAAAGAAGCCACTAAAGGACCATAAAATTATGAACGTGTTGGACAACATAACCAGTGAAAAACAAAGAAGTACAGCGAATACAGAAAAGCAAACACTTGGCATGGACAGGAAATGTACTTAACATCCTACAAGACCAGCTACAAGAAACAAAGAACAAGGAGAAAGAGGCTTGAATTTTTTAAATAAACAGGACTGTTATTTTCTAGAAGCTAAAATATTAAATGAAATACTAAGGGGATCTTATCTTTTACTCGTCTTAAAGATGAGGAGAAACGCTTTTGAATGACTTAGAATGCAGTCCTTACTTAAGGCAAGGGATCAAAATTGGACAAATTTTGAGGCCTCTCTTAATGCTATGAGCCCAAATCTAAGAAAACTCTAATGCTTACAAGAAAGCCATGACAGATTTCCAAGTGCCTGGTAGAATAAGATATCTAAAATAATAAGTAATCAATAAATATTTGAAAAAATAACCAATAAATAAAATAAACCAGAAAAGGTAAATACTCTCATCACTCTTGGCTCAGCAAACCTACCCTAGCCCACAAAGTAATCAGCACAACACCTGGTGTGACTTTATGACCCTCAGAAGGTGAAATCTACCAAGTGTATCTGAACTGAAGTCATAAGGGGACTATTTCACTAACAGACCCCTATGAGTAAAGCTTTAACAATGAGGCTATACTTCCCAATCTCAAGTCAGGTGAACACAATGGCTACTTCCACAAGAGCCCATTTAAAGAATAACAGAACCTGAAAAAACTGTCTTTGCTTTCACAAAGAAATGGTTTCTTTAAAAAAAAAAAAAAATGACTCCAAGATAAGGCATTTCTTAAATCCAACTCCCACCCCCATTTTTGTAAAGCCTTTGGGAACTTTACCAGTGTGTTTCCTTCGTGGTGGAGCCATTGATGCCTGATTGAGAATCAATTCTTGGAAAAATTTTCTTCTGTCTTCTTCTACAGGCCTTTGAATATACAAGACCTCCTCATACTGTATTCTGAAGATGCATTTAACCTACAAACACACACACACAAAGACAGTAAATATAGAGAGAATTAAAACTTATTATACCAAATTACAATTTTTTCCATAACCCATACTGTTCGCAATCTTCATTTAAAATTCACATGGGGGTAGTGTCAACCTAGTCCTAGGCTATGCTGTTGAAAAGTTCAACATGGACTACACAAGAATGGAAGAGTGACTCAGTTGCCCAACTTATTAATAAATTGTACTATAGGTGGAAGAGTCAGAAGGTAATAGCAAAAAGAACAGTTGATTGCAATAGTCAGATGGCAACCGTCTCAAAGGGTTTTCTGCAGAAGAGCTGAAGAGGAATTACCTAGCACCTACAGTAGACAGATGGAAGGATGCCAACCAACAACACTGCCTCCTCTTATGTTGTTTTCAGGTACTTCCATCTGACTTCCCTTCCTGGGCTTATTCCACACCCAGTCTATTCCACTGTATCTTCCAGAATCCTGGTATCACTACAGATAAACTGTACCTTCCGTCTCATCACAGAATGCTCCACAATGATACCGCCTTCCATGCAAAACTCACAAGTCAATTCAAGTCTGTTCCTTCCAGCTGGTGATTACCTACACCCTTCCTTTGTTCATCTGCTCTATAAAGACTTTAACCTCAGGTGCCCCCTCTGCAAGGTATGCTTTTATATCCTCTTCACATCATCCATATTTGTCTGCACACTTAATTTATGCTTTTATAGGTTTGTTTTCCACTTCTAGACACCAAACTCCCTGAGAACAGACCATTTCTTACTCATCTGTTTCCTATGCCTTACCACAGTACCTGGTACATAGTAACGAACAAGCATATACTGAGTAAAGCTCGTGATTCCATTCCCCAGCTCACATCTGACTGGAAATTGCAATTAAAAAAGGAAGAAATCTATAATATGAAAAGTAGCAGCCATGACAGTCCAGAAATACTGGATTAAAATTCAAGTCATCAAAATTTAGCTCAAATGTGGCCACACATTTGTGGTAAACTTTGGATAATCCACTCAATTTGTTATGTCTACCCACTTACTGAATTGAAGACTAAGAATTTCATAAATATTATATCAATCAATCTTTATAACAGTGAGGTATGAATGAGTCCTTCATTTTAAAGATCAAACTTGGGCTTGGAATGGTTTAAGTAACTGATTGAGGGCACAAAATTAATAGAGAACACTAAATTATATAATCTCTAAAGGCCTTTCCAAGCTCTAAAATTCTAAGACAGAGAAGAAACATTCAATGAAGAGTAAAAACTGGAATTCAAAATTTTGGATGGAAATTATTTACCACAACCCAAAGTCAAATCCTTTAATAAGAATTTATAAAAGTTTACCTTGTATCCTTCTAGCACTTTTTTTGTAGACTACCTTCATGTACAATTCCCTCTAACCTGTTGATCTGTGCTTTGCTGGCCCTTCTTCAAAAGTTCTGGCGAGCAAATGGGCATTACCACTGAACACCCATCATGCGCCACATATACGACCAGACACTAGAGTTATAAACTCGAAGAAAATATGCTTACTTCCTGCTGTCAAGATCTTAAGAATCTCATAAGAAACCATTATGATACCACAGAGGAAGAGGCCAGAGGAGAAAAGTAGAGAAACACAGAGGAGGCCCTGCAAGAGTGAAGGGGCATTAGACAAGATACAGCCAAAATAGTCAACATTGACCATGTTTTGAAAAAATAAACAGAACACAATACCTTAGCAGTACCTGGATTTTGTTCAAAGGTTGCAAAACATTTATTTTCAGCTTTAAATATTCTTCCTTCGCAACACTTTTCAACATTGTGTAAAACTTTGTGAATACCAAGCATACCAAGAGTAAGGCTATAATAATCCTATGATATGCCTGCCAGGTTATTATTATAAACGTCTCAGAATCCATCATTTTATAAGTAGACTAAATTATTTTTCTTTCAATTTACTCCTATTTTCTGACATTCTCAGCCTCAAACTTCATGCTGCAAGACGACAAACCTTGTATAATTCCCTGAAAAAAACCCACGATGCTGTCTTTCCCAGTGGTTCACATTGGTCTTTACATGCATGCTATTCACTCTTTCGTAAACCCTTTTTTTAAAAAAAATTTTTATTTATTTATTTTTAGAGAGAGGGGAAGGGAAGGAGAAAGAGAGAAAGAAACATCAATGTGCGGTTGCCTCCCATGCGGCCCCCCACCGGGGACCTGGCCTGCAACCCAGACATGTGCCCCAACTGGGAACCAAACCAGCAACCCTCAGGTTCACAGCCCGTGCTCAATCCACTGTGCCACACCAGCCAGGGCATAAACTTTTTTTAACTCTCCACTCAAGCCAATGCTTTCTGCATGAAGCTTTCTCTGACTTGCCCAGATATACTCAAGCATACCTCCTAATGTCTCTCAACAAATATTTTTCAAACTCAATGATTTTTAGGAGATGAATTCAGTTGTGCAACCATCACAAACCAGTTTTAGAACACTTTCATCACCTCCAAAAACTTCCCTTGTGCCCATCTGCAGTTAATCCCCACTCACACTCAAGACTCCTGGCCTGACAACCAGGTGATCTGCTTTCTGTCTTTAGAGATTTATTTGCCTCTTCTAGAAATTGCATACCATACAACTGGTAGTCTTTTGTGTCCAGCTTCTCTCACTCAGGATAATATACTTGGTTCATTCACCCTGGAGACTCTATCAGTAGTTTATTAATTTATCGCTGAATAGTATTTCACGATATGTATTTACAACATTTTGTTTCATCATCCACCAATTAGTAAATACTTGGGTTGTTTCCACTATTGTGAGGAGTACTAGTAGGAACATTTGCATAAAACTCATTGTATGCACATATGTTTATGTTTCTCTTGTGTAGTTACCTAGGAGTAGAAATGCTGAGAGATACAGTAAATTTTGTCTAACATTTAAAGAATTGCCAAACTTTCCAGAGCGGCAACAACATTTTACAATTCCACCAGCAATATACAAACACTCCGATTTCTCTACATCCTTGCCAGCACTTGGTATTATCTCTATTTTTTGTTATAACTATTCTAGTGGTTGTACAGTGGTATCTTATCCCTAAATAACTAATGTTAGGGAAAATTCTTTTCCATGCTTATTAGCCCAAGAGTACAAATGCTCTGGTGAAACGTCTATTCAAATCTTTAGCCCATCTTTAAATTTGCAGTCTTCCTTTTTAAATTAATTGTGGTAAAATAGTCAGAACATAAAAGTTGCTGTTTTAACTAATTTTAATTGTCCAGCCTGTGGCATTAAGTAGATTCACACTTTGTGCAACCATCACTACCATCCAACTCCAGAACATTTTCATTTTCCCAGACTGAAGCTCTGTGCCCATTGAACACCGACTCTCCACAGTCTCCCCTTCCCCAGCCCCTGGCAACCACCATCCTACTTTCTATCTCTATGATTCTGACTACTCAGGAACCTCCTTAAAGAAGAATCATAGAATATTTGTCCTTCTGTGATTTGCTTAATTCAGTTAGCATGTGTCAAAATTTCCTTCCTTTGAAAAGCAAAATAATGTTATTCTGTAAGTATATGCCATATTTTGCTTAGCCCTTCATCTGTCAATGAACACTTCTGCTGTTTCTACCTTTTGGCTATTTGAAGAACACTGCTACGAATGTGGCTGTACCAGTATCTGTTCGAATCCTTGCTTTCACTTCTTTTGGGTATATACCCAGAAGTGGAATTGTTGGATCATATGATAATTTTATTTAATATTTTTTAAATCACCATACCATTTATTTTCAACCATCTGCACAATTTTACATTCCCACTAGCAATGCACAAGGATTCCAATTTCCTTACATCCTGTCCAACACGTTACTGCCTGTTTTTATGATAACAGCCATCCTAATGGGTATAAAGTGATATCTCATTTTGGTTTTGAAGTTCCCTATTTGAAAATATTCCCTCCAATATGTGCATATTTATTTAAATGCACTATTCTACTAATATTATTTATACTATAAAACATATACACATGAAATACTTGAAAAATAAAATGAATATACCAATGCATTGTCCTGAGTACAAATTTACTTTGGGGACTAGTGGATTAGGAGAAAGATGTATACAAAGAAACATTTACAAGAGAATGTTAAAGGGGCTCTAAGAGTTGAGATTGTCACTTTGTCTCACACAGAGAAAGCAATTTTATATTCCAAATAACACATTAGTCCAATGGTGACTAATCCTTGTTTGGTCTCAGTTTGTGATCTACACAAAGCAAGTCATTCTAATGGTTGAATTTAAATTAAAGCTTGAGGCCTAAGAACAATTAGTATAAAACATGTCATCAGTAGTCTAAAAGAATTCCCATAATCATCACCCCACAAATGTGGACATCAATGATAGCTACTTGGTTAATAAGGGCAAAGAATACAGAAGACAAAAAAAAAAAAAGAGCTGAAATTTCAATATTTAATGCTAAAAATATCTAATATTTTAGCTACTAATTAAGGATACTGGCAAACAAATAATAAAAATAAAAATTATGATAATACAGCAACATTGAAAATGTGCATGATGTAATGTGAACTCTAAAAAATTAAACAAACAATAAAATCACAATGCAAATAGACAACAGGAATAGGCAAAATTAAAATTGCTATATCAAGAAAATGGGTTCATGAGACTTTTATTTACAAATTTTTTAAATAATATAAGAGAAACTTGAGGTAATTACATATTCCTAACCAGAACCCTTAATTATTCCAAATATTCTTTATCTCTTATAAACTGATAATAAAACTAACAGACAGTGAGGATCTAAATTTAAAAAGCAGCCCCTAAGTTATTTTCAGGTTGTCCATTCTTCTAAACCAATTTCAAGTACCTTCTTACTTTATAATACTAATAAAATACCAATCATTTTATAGCTCTGTGGTTTCCAAAATAGATTCACATATACTATTTCACACCAACAAGCCTGTTATTGTCCATATTTTATAGATGAGGAAACCGAAGCTATTCTAGGTTCAAACTTATACAAGATCAAAAGACTAGTATGTCAATACCTTGGTTTTTCTCTTACTACATATAGCATTCTACTAAACATTATTGACACCTGTGATAAAAAACATTTTGATTAGTGGTCTCCAAATTTTAGATTCTGAATAACCAAAAATGAATTTCAACATTTAACATACTTTCTTATAAGAGCAGTAAATTGTGCAAACCCACTTTAATACGATTACTAAAAAGCACTGAAACAGAATTTAAAAAATCGGTAAACAAATATCTTAATCATAAAATTCTACATAATTATGATTTATATTATAGCATTTAAAATATGCAAACTCAGCCCTAGCTGGTGTGGCTCGGTGGATTGAGTACCGGCCTGTGACACAAAGGGTTGCTGGTGTGATTCCTAGTCAGGGCACATACCTGGGTTGCAGACCAGGTCCCCAGTAGGGGCCACGCAAGAAGCAACCACACATTGATGTTTCTCTCCCTTGCTTTCTCCCTCCTTTCCCCTCTCTCTAGAAATAAATAAATATATTAAAAAAATAAAATATGCAAACTTTTTTTTTTAAGATTTTCTTTACAGAAAAGGGAAGGGAGGGAGAGAGGGAGAGAAACATTGATTGGTTACTTCTTGCACGCCCCAACCAGGGGCCTGGCCTGCAACCCAGGCATGTGCCCTGACCTGGAAATCTAACCGGTGACCTCTCGGTTTGCAGGATGAGGCCCAACTCACTGAGCCATACCAATCAGGGCAACATGCACATCTTGTATAGGAACTGTGTCGTCTGGGCAAAATATTTCCCAAGGAGAATATTTCAAAATCTAGTAATCTCAAAGTGTTTAAAATAATTTTTAAAAAATCAATTTCATTCACATGAGTTGATCATATTGTTTTCTAAAACAAACTGATTTTACCTTCGATTTTAATATATTAAATATGAGTTGAATTTGAACTCAAAAGCTAAATATCAGATTTGAAAAATACACACCATAATAACAACATTCAACTTAGCATGATGATGCCAGTGAAGAAGCTGAAAGGTCAAATCTGACCAAATAAGCTAACCGATAAGGATGAGAAGGATAATTATGATGGAACTGATAATGATAGAGCTAAAATCTTCTTCGTAGTTGCTGTATATACACACACATACTGAGTTCTGGTCTAAGCATGAATTATCTCAATCTCCACGACAACAGTGAGGAATATATCACTGTTATACCAAAAAAGAAACAAATTTGCTGAAGTCACTCAGTTAATAAGTGGTACAATTAAGGCATGAATTACGACAGTACTGATATCATGGTAATTAAAATGTGCCAATTTGCAAGGTCAACTATTTTAAAACAATATAATAAACATTCAATCAGTTCTTACCTCTTCAGGCAGTTCACTGTACATGGTTTCAGAGGTAGACAATAAGAATATAGGTGAAAATGACGGTATATCTTGTAGCAAAGTTAGAAAAGTTGCTCTCACAGTTTCACTGACAGCGTCCCACCAATCACCAATGTGAGGCATGTAAACAATACTAGGTACTGTTCTTCGAGCTTCACGAAAAATCTAAGAAGAGAATTGGAATTAAAAATTCAAATTGATATTATTCTAAAGTCTACCCAGTAAGCCCCAAATAATGAAATGGGTCAGACCTGTTATGGTAATTATTTTCAGCCTAAATATTTAAGTTGTGCAAGATACAATGCACAAGCCTTACATACAGCTCCTACCTCTACTCTTTACCTACCTAAAGTATATTTTGCTATTTTATTATTCCTATTCAGTAAATATTAGTAGCATAAAGGCATCTAATTGTTCCACTTATCTATCATATAAAGATAAAGCAAAATACCACTACAAAATATGCTGCAAATGAAGAGATAAGTATGCACTTGTATGTCACCTATGTCAGAGTGATATCAGTAAGCACAAAGAAAAGGAAGACATAGTACACGTTTGTGCACATTGCCTAAAATCACTAAATATATGAAATAAACATTTTAAACAAAATGTACCACCCTAGACTTAAAATTAATGAACTACCCACTCTTTCCCTCCCACTACCTTAACTCAATCTTCAATTCAAAACTGTCACAAAATACCCTTACATCTCTAAAGAGCAATAAATATATTAGCAAAAAGCTCTGAGACACCTTACTGTCAGAAAATACAAAATAAAATTTCCTCAGGTGTTAGGTAAAAAGAATCCTAACCATAGCTTCGGCCGCCCTCTGCCAACACACACCAATAAGGAACAGGTTGGCTCTCAGTAAGCTACCAAGCAGAACTACTGTCCTTTACGTACATGTCAATACTAGCTCAATAGCACACCAATAAATTTTCACAGGATAACATGACATCTCTTTAAGACTTTTAACAAATGTAGAAGTAAGTGCAAAAATCTATCTTCCTTCAATTTAATTTGAGAATTCTATTTCTAAAATTCTCTATTTTTCCTTATTTTAAAACACATGTCTCAATTACCCTGTATAATGTACAAGAAATAAGAATTTAATATTTTAAATGATTAGGATTAATAGAAACATATCTAAGAATTAAAAGGATTATTTTTATGAGGAAGCCTACCAGTTGCATGAATTTTTTAAATATTACAATTTATACAGCTTTAAACCTTCTGCGTAAAATAAAATATATTGCCAATTTAATAATGAACCAGATGGAAGATGCTCAAATAAAATCCTTCCCCCAAACTGAAAATGTAGATGTTATGATCACTCACATCAAAAGTAATATTTGCTCCTTCCCTTCCTTTAACATTTGCATATCCACCAATCCAGAACAGTTGTACTGTACAACTCCTTCAGGACTCAAATTTTGACCTTTTCTGCAAACACGCACCCTCTTATCCTGGATCTTGAAAATCCAAGGATTATTGTTTTCCAAAGCTCTTGTAGAAGATTCATAAGAGAAAAACAAGCATAAATATCGGCAAACGAAGGAACCACACAGCAGCACAAAGGCAAGTGAGGCATCTGAATAAAAAATATATATGCTACATGCCACCCAAGTCAGGCATGGCATGTGGAAGACAGTGACTGACACCTTCTGTCGCTTTCCAACTCCCACTCTGTGCTGGTAAAACTAGGGAGAGTCAGCGGGGAGAGAAAGGTGGTTATAGGAAAAGACTAATGAGCTACACAGCTTACTGAGAAACCTCACAGAACTAACCACCTAATTTAGTCATGCAAGTTACCACGTGCACAGGAAGAGATAAGAAACCCATGCCTTTTTAAAAAATGAAATTTTGCCTTTCATTCTAGTACCTGTAGGTTAAATTTTCTCAAAATACGTGTTGAAAACATCTAGCTACTAACCAGTATCAAAGAGTTTGAGCAAAGCAACACAGGTTAAGTGATAATAAAAACTTGACAGAGCCAGAAAAGTTAAATGATGCTGTACTGTAGGTGATTTAAACCCATTTGCAAGACTGCTCTAGATATACATAAGCATCACCAACTCTAAAGGAGTTGAGGGTTTTTCAGTTTTTCTCCTAAGCCTTTAGAGGAAAAACATCCTTAATTTCTAGAAAAACTTAAACGCACCACTAAAACAAGTTTTCTTTTAAATTCCTTACTTGATGGTATCTCAGAGTACTAAAATAAACTTTCATATTCTCTGTAAATATATGGTCAACCTGTTCTAATTCTCCAGTTTTCATAATGAAAATTCAAAAAGTCAAGTCCAGAACAGTATTTAAAAATTCAGAAAAAAGTTTAAACCTATTGTGATTTTTTATAATGAAAAAATAACTCTTCAGCAGTTTGCTGGTAACTTTTAAAGTTGTGGAATAAGATACACTCTGTGAAATCAATTAACCAGATAATTTCAATAGAAAAATAAAGCCTAGTTTTAGTGAAGCGGCAACTGTCTTGGGAACAAGTGATGCCATTTGATAACTAGAAAAATACTCACCTACAGGCTGTCTTGGATTGGTGGATGTGCAAGGTGTAGTAGAAAACAGAAAAACTGTTATAGAGAAAAAAAGACAGTAGGCCAAATTACTGAACCAACCGTTTCAAAACACCTGTGACATGACCAGCACTCTTGCACAAATGAAATGAACAAACATCAGTGTACGGGAACTGTTCATTTTGATTCTTTAAACAATATACTCTGTTTCCTTCTGGCCTCTTCTTGCCCCAGATATCATGGTTCCTTATATAACATATTTTTGTTTCTTTATTCTTTAAAAAAATCACAAAATACTCCCTTGGAATATTGAAAGGCAAAAATCAGGCCACTGACGTTAAAAGTACCCATGTAAGGAAACACTAAAAACATAAACTGCACCTATATTTACAAGAGTCTTTGTCATCTCAAAAGCTGAACTTTCTCAAGTCATTTCTTTAGCTGCCAAATTAAAATGTTCGAGGCATAAAAATTTACTATATTTTAAAAAATTAAGAATATACAAGGGCATAACATTTTCTTCAGAACCTGAAGACTAGAACAATTGAACAGATGTAAATGAAGCAGAAAGCTCCAGGCCAGTACAGCTTTCACTTTCCTAAAAGGGACTGACTATATGAGAAAGAGGAAAACAACTTTTGTCTTAATAAACTTCCACAATTTATCTTGATCACATTACAGTATTATGAATGTGCTAAATTTATAAAATCTAAGTAAAACAAAAGTCTTGGAAGTTAAAATATTCTAAATTTTTATAAAAATTTAAAAGCACTATTACAATAAATTTAATTCCTTACACCATGTTATCACAAAATATTACAAGAAACACCTATATTGCTATCTTCATTCCATATATATATATATATCACTTTGCTCCATTTATATTCCATTTACTAAGATTTATAGAGCATCTCTGTGAAAAGAAGTCACTGTCTGGGACATGAGGATTCAGGAATGAAGAAATAAAATACCCAGTTTCTTTACCAGCATATAAAACCAGCCTGTTAGAAAACACAACTATACTACGATTTCTGGATAATGGTTGTAATACAAATCAACTTGTTATGAAAATTAAATAACCCAAATTTCTTTTCTAATATTTTCATTACCTAAGAACTTCAAGAATTTTCATAAATGTGGTACACTCTGGACCGGTATGGTTTGTTTACAACTCAAAAAAAAAATGGTCACCATGGTAAAGCACAGAAAGCCAGGCCCACAAACACAAGATTATGCAAAGTACACACAGACTGCTGGGAGGAATCTGGAGACCCTTGTGCACAAACGCAAGAGAGTCCAAAGTAAACACATAGGTAAGTCTATTAGTGCCTTCATGCTACTCAATCAAAAAGGATTTCCTCTGAACATTTCCAGATACATTTTCCTTTTGAGAAAAAAAAAAAAAAACAACTAAAAATGTCACCAAAAAAAATACCTTACTGACCATTTAAATTTATTCATAACATTATACAGGACCCAAATTCCAAAGCTTTGACAGGCTATATTATCAATTCAATCATACTTCTGTATTAATGAAAAAGATAAAATATTGCACACTCATCAATCACTTTTTGCCTAAGTCAACAAAAGAAACAACAGGAAAAAATACATTTGAAGATGTCAGAAAAGGGGAATCATAGTTGTTGTTATTGTTTTTAAGAGTGTTAATACAGATAGGTCTTTTACTACGGATACTAACATCTCCGGCCTTGTTGTAGGGCTCACTTACCAATTGTGAACTTAATGAGAAAACTATAATCTTCCAGTCTACACTGGGGTTTTCCATTCTCCTTCCAGAGTTCTTAAGAAGACTAAGAAATGCTCAGTAACATGTACACACACACACACCCCTATTTTATGAACTCTGGCAATTGTTTCAGTAATAAATGTCTAACTAGTGTCCAGTGATCGGCAAAAGTACTACACTTCAAAGCGGGATCTACTTCAGACCTAGAATGGTAAAACCTGGGATATTTAAAGTACAGCTTCCTAGGGCTCACCCCAAATCTAATGAATCAGAATCTATGGGTGTGGAGCCAGGGAATCAGAAATATTAATAAGCACCCCCAGAAAATTCTCATGCTCACTAAATCTTAAGAAACAATGAGAAAATCCTACAGCAGATACTAACTTCTCTACCATTTTTCACCCAATCAAAATTATTAATCAATAGCTGAGGCAGTTGGAAGAAGAGAAGGAACTTTTGTCATAAATATGCTTGTGTGTAGATATTTTAAAGGATAGAAAGAGAAGTAAACATGATTCCCATAGTATAAAGAAATATCAAATAGTGTTCTTCACACTTTCCATCTTATCTCACATATCAATACAACCTTTTTAAAGGTGATGTAGGACTTCTTCCCTTTAAGATAAACTTTCATGTTCATGTTACAGAATTTAATAACCAATTTTAATTTATATTAAGTATCTTAGAGACCAGGAAAAAAGAAGAGCACAGGATAACAATTTGCCACAGACTGAATCCTTATGTTCCACATCTATTTCAAGATAATCTTGCCTATAGGAGGACTAGCTCCGAAGAGAAGAGAAGAGAAGAGAAGAGAAGAGAAGAGAAGAGAAGAGAAGAGAAGAGAAGAGAAGAGAAGAGAAGAGAAGGAAAAAAATACAAGTATAGACAGGTTTTTGATCCTCCCAGCATTGCAGCACCTGACTCATGCACTTTCTTCCCTAGGACTCTTATACTTACTTATACCCAGGCATGTCAAGGTCTACAAATTAAGAATAAGTTCCTTGGTTTCATTATATAATAGACTCTTTTTGAAGTTTTTAAAGAGAGACAGTATTATGTTCATGAATTTTAAATAATTTTAAATATGCAATTAAGATTCAAATAGTCAGCCCTGGCCAGGTAGCTCAGTTGGTTAGCATGCTGTCCCAGTACATGAAGGTTCAATCCTCGGCCAGGGCACATACAAGAATCAACCAACAAATGCGTAAGTAAGTGGAACAACAAATCGATGTTTCTCTCTCTCAAGTCAATAAATTTTTTTTAAAAGATATAAATAGAGATTAACCAGGACAGTTCAACTGGTCTCTAGCCAGGGCTCACAGGAAGTCTGAGCTTCAGTTACCGGGACTACAGAATTCTGACTCAGTTCCTCTGCAGACTGGACATCCAGGTTGTGGTCACTAAAGAAGCAGCTCTAAGCTCTATTTCCAACCCAGATGCTTACAGGTGAAAGCAGAGAAGATGAGACATCTTGATGTATTATAGATTCAGTGTAACACAACCAAAACAATAAATGGTAGGGTTTTGCTGTCTTCCACTACCAAGTGACACCTCTCACCATCCTCTCCACCCACGTGGCCAAAAAAGTAGTAAAAGCCAAGAAATGTGGAAGAGACCAAGGAGTATACAGTTAGAATGCAAGTTTAGCCCAATGATCCAGCTAGGAATCAGGAAAAAAATTCTAGGATCCCAATAACATCAACATACATTTTGCTACAATGCCTCCTAAGTATTTCCTTACCTCACTAAGCCAGTAATGTGTGAATATGTGCACATATTAGCCATAAGGAACAATGACAGACAGAAAAGCTTCTCACTTTGAAAATGTTCCTCTTTCAACATGATTCTGTCTTTATTTTGCTTGGTACTATCAAATATACATGTAACAAGAAAAATACTATTTCAAACAGTACAGCAGCGTATAAACTAAAATGACAAAGTTTACCTATTTCCCCAATCCTCCAAATCCCTTCCCCCAAGCCAAAGCAATGATTATTAACAGGTTTTGGGGGGACATTCTTAGATAAAATTTCCACTTATATATAAGCATGAATATAAAATGTTTAAGTTTTTTTAACACAAAGATGATTGTATTTAGATAGACTGATTTAAAACTTGCTTTTTTCCCTAAATGGCATGCTATTTTGCTAGTTTTAATATTAGATAGTTACTATTTCTTCTTATTGACATAAACTTTTTTTTTATGTTTAGGAAAACTGTCCTTGACATGTGTGTTACAAATATACTTCTTACCAGGTTATGACTATTAATTTTATTTAAAGAATTTTTTTTGCCATGTGTAATTTAAAATTGCATAAAGTAAAATTTGACCCTATCTCAACATTTTCAGGATTTTGTTCATTGCTTAGAAATTATTTTCTCATATCCAAAGCAATAAATGTAGTGACCTTGTGAATTCTCCTAACACTTTTAAATCTGTGCAATTTATACCTCCATTGCCAATCTAGATTTGTTTCTGGGCCACAGAAAAAGGCAGGAAACCTAGGTTGGTATGGTTTTTTCTTTTCCCCTCATTGAGCCAGCCAGTTTTCCAAGACCACTTACTAAATAATCCATCTACTCTATCTACTGATATGAAATGTCATCATCATCATCATCAGATACTAAATTCTCATTTCTATACAGGCCTAACTGAATTATCTCTTTTGTTTTATTACTTTGTCTATCCCTGCACAGGTACAAATTCTTTATTACTCTAGTTCTATTACATCTTTTAAATCCTAGCAGGGCTCCCTCACTACACTTTTTCCTCTTGAATTGGCCATGCAATGCTCATTGTTTATTATGTACAGGAAACACAAAGTCCTTTTTTAACTTTTTCTTAAATCTGGGAAGAATTATCATTGAGATTGCACTTAATTCACAAATTAAGTTAGAAAAGAACTCACAGCATTCCAATTTTGAGTCTGACCAGCCATTAGTTGTGAGAGTAGCTAGTTGGGTACTGCATGCCAAGCTAGTGAATAAGCTTATTTTATTTTAAGATTTTATTTATTTATTTTTAGAGAGAAGGGAAGGGAAGGAGAAAGAGAGGGAAAGAAACATCAATGTGTGGTTGCCTTTCATATGCCCCCTACTAGGGACCTGGCCCACAGCCCAGGCATGTGCCCTGACTGGGAATCAAACCAGCAACCCCTTGGTTCATAGGCCAGCATTCAACCCACTAAGCCACACCAGTCAGGGCTGGATAAGCTTATTTAATAATCACAACTCCCACCCCACCCCAAAAAAAAACTATCACAACTTAGGTGGTATCATTATTTTCATTTTACAGATGACCAAATTAAGGCTCAAAGAAGTTAAGCAACTTGTCCAAGGTCACAACCAATCAGCAAAGTAGTTGAGATTTTTATCTGTGCAATTTAAGACCACACTTTGAATTGTAGTATATAATTAAAAACAGAACATGTCTTTCATTATTTCAACTGTCCTCCTCAAATGAATTTTTTAGATTTCTTCTTTTAAACCCTGCAAATTAACTGTTTAAGTTAATTCCTAGGTAAACTTAGTTGCTATTTTAAATGGGACCTCTTCTTCCATTATATTTCTCACTTGTTATTGTTTATATAAAAGAATACTATTGATTTTAAAACATTAACTTTGAAAGTGTCCACCTTACAGAATTCTCTTATTGTCCCTAATAATTTTTTCGGTCGATACTATAAGTTTTCCAATCATTTCACAAATAATTATAACTTCAATGTGTCCACTTCGATGGTCTTTCTCAATGTCTAAATGAATCAGTTTTGCAATCCTTAATAATGACATATTATTGATGTGCTACCAAATTCCATTTGTAATATTTACTTTATGACTACAATCTGCATGAGATTAGTCTCCAGTTTTCTTTGTATTTCTTTCAAAAGTTTATCATTATTGTTTTTGTTGATTTTACAGCTTTCCCTTCTTTTTCTATGCTTTGGAACAGTTTAAATAACATCAAAATGATCTTATCCTTTAAGATTAAGAGAATTCCCCTCTGAAACTATCTGAATTTAGTGCCATTTTTAACACTCAATTTCTTCTTCCACAGCTAGTGTCTTGTCTGTTCAGGTTTTCTCTCCTCTGAGGTCAATTTTGTTAACTTATATTTTTCTATAAATAAAACCACTTGGATTTATTTTAAATGGTCCTGACTAATTGTCTCACTTGCATACAAACTTTGCCTCACCAAATAGGAAATATATAAGCAAACATATAATTCAACATTATTGGAAAATACAGCAAGAATGAACTGAATGTATAAAAATTGGAGCAAATTACTGGTATATAGGGGTTTTTTTTTATTAAGTACATGAGTTTTGGGGAAAGAATTCCTTTAAATAGAGCTTTATATGCAGCAAAGTGCTGCTAGGATGTTCACACCCAAAGAACTAAGTAAAAGTGAGATGATATCTAACTATAAACTTTTTGAAAAATATTTTTAAATGTTTAAAAAATATTTCTTGCTACAAAGTAGAGAATGGTTTTCAATAACATAGTATATAAATATGTACTAAGTACTTATCAAAGGTAACTGGAAAAAAAAACAATAAAATTATATACAATGATCTTAAGTGTTACTATTCTAGTCATCTAATCTCTGAAAGTAGGATATATATCAAAGTAAAAAGTGACACTCTTCTAATTTATTTATAAGAAACGGTATTCAGACATTCAGTAAGCACTTACTAGAAGCACTATGTCAGAGACACAGAAATGGTGAAGATGTGATCCCTTGGCTCAAAAATCGTATTCCCCTAACCTCTAGCTACCACATGACAAACTTAAAATAAATTCATAGCTATATATTAAAACCTCAAGAAATATAAACAGCCCCAGTACAAGTCTGCTTCACAACAAGCAAATAAAGTTGAAAATCAAATATCAAACATACTTTCAATATTGATACTATTAGATATCATTTTTAAAGTGATACCGTATTTCTATATAAATTTTAAGTCCTGGCATCTCAAATTGGATACCTTTTCCCTTCCTATAATAAGTCTCTCAGTACAAAGAGAAGTCTAGAAAGGCTCTGAAACCACAGTTTTGACAAGAGTCAGAAAAAGGCAAAGAAGCCCCCTTTCCACTGTTTAACTAACTGTAACATAAGAAACAGGATATTAAAATTCAGAAATGAACGAAGTATCATAATAAAAACAAATGAGCTCACTTTGGGAAATGTTACACATCAAAAGGATCCTCTGACTTAATATTATGTTAACAAATGAGCAACAAAAAGTTATTATTCATAACATTGTTCTTTGAAAGAACTGTACCTATAAATACTACAGAGACACAAACAATAAGAAAGGTGGTAGTGCTCTGATATGGTATAAACCTACCTGTGCACATGATTCTTCAGGTGTTTTGGCACTAACTGAATAAAGTGCTGGGAGATCTAGTCTGTGCACAGAGAACTTTTCTAGAGTATGCAAAAGTGCTGGAGCAAGGTGAGAAGTTTGACCTGAGCCTCGTTCTCCAGACAGCAATAATCTTGGCCTGTAAGAGGTTGGCTGATGATATGGTGACCTGCAATACATGTAAGACATAATAATTATTTTGAAACCATACATTCTGAAGATGAATATGAAAACATTAGGCAACATATTTATATTAAAAGAATGTAACTCCAAATTAATAGAACATTCCTATGTGATTAAGTACAGTGAATCACTTTTCATTAATCAGTTTTAAAATGTTGAGCTCTCTTACCATATTAATAACTACGATGTAAAAGTGTAAAAATCTCTTCTAAAAGAAAGTAAAAATATGTAGGTATCACACCACATACATGAACTTGGAAAATGCTTCAGTCACTAAGTGTGATTCAGTTATTATCAATAATTACTCATGGTCAAATGTTAAGAATCCCACTTCTCCAATAAGGAGGTACATCTGAAGAATACCCAAAATGTTGCACTTTTAAAAAAAATGGTTAAAATGTTAAATTTTATGTATTTTAAACCATACTTTTTTTAACTAGAAAAAAATGTAAAAATTTTTCGGTGGCAGCAAATTTTCTTTTAGGCCAATAAAATCTGTTTTTACCCTAATACATGATATTTAAACCCCTACACCAGAGAAGGTAAATATACTGATGAAACTTAAATAAGTGAAATAAATTTTATATATGATCACTATAGATAATTGAGGAAATTCTAAGCAATGAAATAAGAATAAAGCAAATAAATAGAACTAATGGAAAGAAATAGGGAAAACACTGTTACTTGCAAAGGATGATTATACACTAGAAAGTCCAAGAGAATGACCTAGTAACTGTCCAACTCTACCAGCAACATAGTAAGACAAAAAATGGAAATAGAGCCCTGGTTGGAGTAGCTCAGTAGATTGAGTGTGGGCCTGCAAACCAAAGAGTCACTGGTTCGATTCCCAGTTTCAGGGCCCATGCCTGGGTTGCAGGCCAGGTTCTCAGTAGGGGTGGCACGAGAGGCAACCACACATCAGTGTTTCTCTCCCTTTCTTTCTCCTTCCCTTCCCTTCTCTCTAAAAATAAATGAATAAAATTTTTTTAAAAAGTTACTTAAAAAAAAAGGAAATAGAGAAATCAAAGATTTCTAAAACACCATCAAGAACCCATAAAAAGGAAAGAACATCCTATTTATAAATGCAAAAATACAAACAGCATAAGAACAAATATTAAAGAAAAGTATGAAACTATACAAGATATAACGTAAGCCTGACTATAAAGAAGTCAACTCTTTCTAATGCCTTTATAGTTAACTAAAGTTAAATAAATATATATTTTATAATATTTTATTTTATACATTTAAAACAAATCAAAATCCCAAAAGAATTTGAGAAAGAGAGGGAGATTTAAAACTTATATACAGCATTATCTAAAAGAATAGTCAAGAAAATTTTGGAAAAATATGTTAGCTCCAATCTCAGAATATTTAAAACTGTTTTAGGAACAAGCATTTCATTAAAACTTCTTGTTTTACTTTCTTAACAATTCTATGAAATATATAGTTTCCACCTATTAAACATATGAAAAAAAACAAGATTCAGAGAGGTTATGTATAAAACTGTACAATTGATTTCAATTTCCCATTCAGACCCATACAATCACAAAGCCCAGGCATCATCACGTTAAGATATCCCCCACTTTAAGTGAAACATATTATAGAACAGAAGAACAAACAGAATGTAGAATACATCAAAAAAAGAAACACAGATCAATGGAAGATAATAGGCGACCCAGAAAACAAAGTATAAAAACTGAAATGAAGCATAAAAAATAAACAGAACAGGGATGAATTATAAAATCAATGTTTAAAATAGGGAGGATTCAAAATGCTCTCCCTCTCAGGAGCAGATACCAACTTCTGGATACAATGTACTTCAAAATGAGGATGCTTTGGGGATTCCAGCCCACACCTACTTTGGAAGAATCAGTAATAGCCTCTCAATTTCAGTCTCAGATCCACATTTCCATGTCTCCCTTAGATCAAGCAGGGACCGTGGTCCTTGTCAGCAGGAAGCAGTTATTGAAGACTGACTGTCCCCCTCATCACCCCTAAAAGATTTCAGGGATGGAAGCCTCTTAGGGGGGAATGAGATAAGCTGGAGAGCCAGGACAAATGAAACAGGGAAACTGAGATAGTTAAATGGCCAAACAGTTTACACACATCTAGTAAATCACAAAATCCTATCTTCCCTAATCAAGAACACTTAGAGTAAATGGTTCACACTTCTTCGAACCAAAGGGTAAAGAGCTTAAATCACCCTACTCAGGAATACAGATAACAAAAAAACAATTAATGCCAACCACACCCAAGGATGGATAAAGTCAGGGGAAATCATCTCATTGGGGCATATCAGCATAAACAAAGCTGATGAATACTCTGTTGAGATCCTCCCCTGAGACCTCTCCTAAACGCCCAGCCTTTAAAGCCCTCGAGAAGAAGGACCCAGCATGTGCTCTCTCTTGGGAGGGAGAGCACGTGTCTGCTCTTTTCCCTTCCCCCTCTTCCTAAATAAACTTTCTTTTCTAATTTGAAAATAAAATAGAGAGGATTCAAATTTTCATTTTGAAAAATAAGTAAAATGAATTCTAACACAGAAATAAGAAAAAACAAGGCATTCACGTATTTAATTCATAAAAATTTATAAACTTTTCTGACTCAAAAATTACAACCTTAACCAAATGGCAAACAACCAAATGAGACCAGGAATTTGCCCTGTATAAAGAGCCGATGTGCATAGTGTTAACAAAAAAATGCCTTCAAGGGCAAAGGACATAAGCAGCAATTAAAAAGAAAAAGGTATCAATAAACATTTTTCAAAATGTTCATTCATTTAACAACTGTAGAATGCTTCCTATGCTGAATGCCATGGCCCTAGTAATCCAAAAATACCACTTTTATCACAGAGCTCATAACTGAATGGTATTTAGTGAAAAAAGGAAATAACACAAATTACTGCAATGCAGTATGCTTAATAAGCAGCACTGTTTAAGTGCAGGGACTATGAGAGACCCCAACTAGAAACTCATGAAGGCTTTCCTGGGACAGTGTTACTGAAACATAAACCCAGTAGACTGGAAGCAGAGAAGATAAATTCCAAGAAATAAAAACAGGATGTACAAAGCACCAGTGGCTAAAAAGGCCTTGGTCCTTTGGTCTAACAGATGTAGTTCATACATCCAGCTTCTTTTAAGGTTTTAGGGCAATAGAGTAAAGGTACTGGGGAATTATGGAAGGGAAGCAGAAAGGAGAATCTGACTATGAAAGGCTATGAAGGACTTTGTTAAGCCATGTTAAAAATTTGGATGTTCACTGAAGACAATGAGAAAGTATTAAGGTGCTTAAGCAGAGGTAATGACATCATCTTACAGATGTTTTTAGAAGATAATTCTAGTTCAGTATGTCAGTACAGGTAGGGATTTTGAAAAAATGCAAAACAGGAAGAAATATGACTAGTTAGTGGTTTGCTGTAATAACCCAAGCATGAAATGTTAATGGTGGTCTAGACGAGCAGTGTCAAAGAGGTGAGAAGGAACAACCTAAGATGTTTCTTACTTTATTTAGTCAGGACGTGGTCACTGACTAGATACAGAAGGGAAGAAGAGGAAGCTGAGGATGACGCCCAGTTCTAATTAGGACAACCAAATGAATGGTAGCTCACAGGATTCACAGGAAGAGAAGAGGGGCACAGTCCAGTTTGTACTGAAAGATCTAAGGCACAAAAAAGGGAGATAAGCAGCTGGACAGGGTCTAAAGCTTAAGAATGATCTAGGCTTGAGAAAGATTTGGTAGTTATTAACAGATGAAAAATTATGAAAATATAAATAATGTAAAATGGGTTTTACATGTTAGATCGATGAACTAAAAATTAATTTTAATACCCATTATTAGTAGATGGTGGGAAAAGTATAATTTTCTAAAATTAAATTTGCCAACTATGTTAAATATATACCAAAATTCATACCCAAGATATCTGCAATTCATCTCATTCCCAAGAACTCCCTTACCTCTTAGAATTCTCTACATTTTGTTCATAGTACTTGTCTTCTAACATTTTATCTATTACATTATTGCATTATTGTCTGTCTCCATCTAAAATGTAAGCTGAATGAGAACCCATAGCCCATCTTGCTCACTGATGTATTGTAGGTACATAGGACAATGTCTGGCACATGATGGCACTTTGACAAAATAACTGAATTAATTAATTAATATGTGGAACAACAAGTGAATGATTCAAATAAACAGGAAGATGGCACCTTCATATATCTGGTTGTCAAAGATTTAAAAGACAAACCATGCTCTGAATTGACAAGGATATAGGAAAAATAATACTCTCCTACAACAGTGATGAAAATGAAATTGGTACAACCTTTCCCAAAGCCAAACAAAATCAAATCAATTCTAAAAACCAGTACAGCCCAAATTAAAGGCAGTTTAACAACTTGTATCAAGTTTTTAAATGTATATATACCCTTTGACACAGTAATCAGAGTTTTTTAACTTTACCCTAAGCTGATTTAGATCAGATAATGGTATAAGAATGTACACTTAGTCCTGGATGGGTGGCTCATTTGGTTGGAACATCATCCTGCATACCAAAAGGCTATGGGTTCAATTCCTGCTCAGGGCACATACGTAGGTTGTGGGTTTGATCCCCAGTCAAGGCGTGTACAGGAGGCAAATGATCGATGTTTCTCACATCAATGTTTCTCCTACTCCTTTTCCCTTTCTCTCTCTCTCTCTCTCTCTCTCTCAAAATCAATAAACATATCCTCAAGTGAGGATGAAAAAAATATGTATACTTAGAAATATGTCTATTACAGCACTGTTTATAAAAGGAGAAAAATTGAAAACTTCAATTTTTATCAGTAAGGTTATATAAAGGAACATCCAAAAAATAAAGTATTGTGTAGCTGTGTTAAAAGAATGATATCAAACATATTCTGACATGAAATAACAATCTCAACATAGTGGATAAAAAAGCAAGATATATTCAAAAACGTAAAAGGAGGATATAATTCCTATAAAATAATATGTGGGTCTGTCTATATGCATAGAGAGAATATGGAAGTATGGTCACCAAAACTTGAACAAATATTACCTTCAGATGCTTGGGCTTTAATTTTTATTTTCTTCTTTATGCTCTTCTTTATTACTTGAATTTTCTACAGAGTATATCATCTTTCTAATTAAAAAAAACAAAGCTATTTTCATTTGGAAAACCTTGGAAAGCTGTGTTTCTAATTCCCTTATGGTAATATATAATAATAAAGAAAACTCATTTTCCATCATAACGGTTCTCTGCCAGACTGATAGACCTTAAATATCTTTACTTATATTTCATCTTAAATCTAAATAAAAGGTTTCACCATTGTTTTAGGCAACTATTCCCAGAAACAGAAACCCACTGGCAATGCCACGCCAGTGTTACTGGAGACCAGCATTAAAGTCATGCTTTCTATGTGTCTAGCACTTTGTCAGTGTTGGTCTGGAAGGCCAATACTGGGAGCCAAACCAACCCAAATCAAACAACACCACCAAAAAAAATGTGTAGCTCTTACTAAAGGCCTATATTCTGAAGTGCTTATTTCTTAGAAAGTGTAAAAACTTACTGTCCAACCTACCCCCAAAAGCAACAGCTTTTCCTATCTACCTACTAAACTCAGAAATCCATTTGGAAACCACATAGAAGACAGAGAAATAAAGTATGGGCCCTGGTTCTGACACCTGCTAGCGGCATGATCATGGACAATTTACTTAATTTAATGCTTCAGTTTCACTGTCTATAAAATCGCAATACTACAAATTTGCTATATGATTATTTATATACGATTATCACATATAAAGCTCCAAGTTTTATATCATGTATTATACCACACATCTAGTTTGTAATGAACATCAGATGCTAACTCCTATCCCTGCATACTCAAAAACACAGCAAATGTCACTGATTGTCCTGTGAAGCCCTCCTGGACTTCCCAATGAAAGCTTCTTAGTTCTGTTTTCATAACACTTCAGCCATATCACGTTTGTCACCCAATAACAAGAACTTCTCCAGAGTAAGAACTACATTACATCTTAATCACACTTACGTCTTCAACACCTAGTACAGTGCCTGCCACAGAATAAACACATAAAAATTGGTAGAATGGATAGATAAGTAAATAAATTAAATTTATCAAAACATCTACAACAAAAAAAAGCTTATTCCAGGATATAGCTGTCTCAGAGTCAATTTCAGAACTAGAAAGCTTATGTTAAGGCAGCTAATTTAAGCCAATTTCAGGAAGGCTAAAACAAACAAAATGAGGCATACCAGTGACACCCATTAAATCACTGGTAGAGAAAGTTCTTAATAAAAAGTCAAACTCAAAATTACATGTGAAGTTTTCTTACATCAAAATCTATTTCTGTACACTCTACTGAAAACAGAACTACCTTATAAAATTGGAACATAAATCTTTTGACAGTTCTTTAGCTCTGCATTCATATATTTCAAATCTAAATAACTAAAACTGTCAAAACAAATCACTCACACACTCTCTCTCTCTCTCTCTCTCTCTCTCTCTCTCTCTCTCTCTCTCTCTCTCTCTCTCTCTCTCTCCAGGTGGGGAAAACAATGACTATGGCTTGCCCTTAACCATCAATGAGACAGATCTCTAAAATTACTAAAACAGTCTAAGAAAACTTCCCAGAGGGCAAAAAAGAAAAGACCTGGAGTAAAAGGAAAAGTTTCTAATAGAAGAGCTTGATGTTAAAGAAAAATAGAGTAAATGAAAATTTAGTATCATTTTTTTAATGAAAAACAAGCAAAAGTTATCAATGCAAATAATCGAATGAACATCTTACCAAAATCTACATGTGAGAAACTTAAAGTTGTTCAAAATATGTCAAAAGAAAAAGTACTTAAAAGTACACACAATTCCACATTTTCAGTAAAAGTGTGATTAGACCTACCTGACCGGAGCATTACGGTCCTTTAACTTTCATGATAATTATGCAAATGCAAGTGATGATGATATTAATATTTGAAAACTATCTGGTCCCTTAATTTAGTCCCTTGATTAGCACTAAAATTGTTTACCTGTTAAAGTGCACAGCATATGCTGCTTTACTATAGTTCAGAGATTTTCAACCTTCTTCATTCCATGGCACGAACTACTAAAATTCTATGGTACATGAAAAAATATATGTATTTTTTTGCCAATCTGACCAAAAAAAGGTAGAATTTTGATTCATTCACACTGGATGGCTATTGTTGTGTAGGCTGCTGTCATTTTTTTATTTGACAATCAAAGGGAAGAGATCAGTGCCCCTTGCTGAACAGCCAGGTACTGCATGTTTTAGAAATTCTTGTGGCACACCAGTTGAAAATCACTGATATAGATAAAGGTGAATGTAAACAGAAATACCATAACATCTAAATTAGGAAAGTGTAAACTAATGGGAATTTGGAGAATCAAAAATTAATTTTTAATTACTGTGCAATTTCTAATCCAAAACCTTTTTAGTACCCTTAGGGTCCCTAAAATATCATCCAAATCTTATTATAAATTAAAATATTCTCAACCATGGTAAATATTTCACTTCTGTTCATTATAGTTCAAATAAAAAGCAATAAAACTGGGTACATGAGTTGATTTTCTAAAGGGAACCCTTCCTTCCACCCTCATTTAAATAAAAATCACACAATCAGTTGAGAAAAAATTGTTCCAGTTGACCAAAAACCAATTTATTACAACACACAAAAAATATATACACACAGTAAATGTTTCAGAATTGTATCCAAAGAGAAAAATCAGAGTTTTCAATGTTAGAACCATAAGTAAAAAGATACCATAATTCTAACCATAAAGTAATAAAAATCATGCTGACTGGAAAGAAATTTGATATAAATTACTTACATTGTAAAATGAAGGTAGGATTTATGTACAGCAGCAGCTGATGACTGTTTCTTTGGTGATCCTGAGTGACAACTGGTCTCAAAAATTGATAAAGCATTCTCATCTTCACTATCATCTAAAATCAGAGTATCTATATCTGTTCAAAGACAAAAAAATCACAAAGACTGAGGCATATAAAGTCATTTAATATGAGTCAGCTATACAAAAGCTAAAAACAATTGGTTTAAAAATCAAATTATATTAACTAATAAATTATTTATTAAATAATACAGATTGAGCAGGCAAACTGACAAACTACAATGTTTTGAGTAATTTATAAGTAAAACAAATGTAATTATTTCACCTTTACAAATTATTTAAGTGTTATAAGATGTAATTTAGGAGATTTCACTGATCATAAGGTGACTACAAAAGAAATGGCACTTTCATAAAATACCCAGCTACTTACTAAAAATCTCTAAGTTAATTTTGACCAAAACCAGTACATTTCATCTAAGATATCTGGTATAATTAATAGAGCACTTGCCCAGAACCAACATATCCAGTGGCTGGCTCCAGACCACATCAGGCATGACCTGGTTAGCTGCACAAGTGGCAAACAGCAGAGGGAGATCTGGGCAGGCACCAGACCCCGCTGGAGCAGATTCTGCTTCGTGGGATCGCCTGGCACAGCCGCAAGTTACCACAGAAGGGCTCACAAAACCCACAAAGGGGACATTCCTGGAGCTCCTAGCTCAGTTTACCAAAGAGAGTGCACCACTGAGCCACAGCACACCTACTACACAAGGTCACGCTACCAAGGCTGGGAGATATAACAGATCTACCTAACATACAGAAACAAATGCAAAGAAGCAGCCAAAATGGGGAGACAAAGGAATATGCTGTAAATGAAAGAACAGGAGAAATCCCCCCAAAAAGATTAGGGCACTTGAGTTATGGCCGGTTCTTACAAAAGTAACATGGAAAAAACTGACCCTTATTTTTTCACATGGTATACACACATATACTCGTACACACCTTTTTCAAAGAAAACCTACACTAGCTGAAAAAGGAGTCAGGAATTAAGTGGAAACAAAGACAATCTTTAAAACGCACTCACTCAGGTAGCATTAGTCTCTCTATGTGAGTCTTACATTACTGTTTAATAGATTAACAGAAACTGAAATCCCTATTGAGAGTTTACTTAAAAATTTACTTTGCGGGCTGCGAACCAAAGCATCACAGGTTCGATTCCCAGTCCAGGCACATGCCTGGGTTGCAGGCCATGGCCCCCAGCAACCGCATATTGATGTTTCTCTCTCTCTTTCTCCCTCCCTTCCCTCTCTAAAAATAAATAAATAAAACCTAAAACAAAAAAAATTACCTGGACTACAACCTGAAATATTAATAGCTGAACTCCACACATACCTAACAAAAGTGCCATCAATTCATTCAATAAAAACCAGTACTACATGTGTACAAGAAATGGGGAAAAAATTGAGATTCACAGAAATCATACTTTTCCCCCCACAAAAAAAGGGGAAAAAAGGTATACTTTTTAAAATAAGACACTGATTTATTCTGGCAGATGTGGATTTTCATGGCTTTCAAAAACTAAGTATTTGCCCTGGCTAATGTGACTCAGTGAACTGAATACCGGCCTGCGAACCAAAGGGTCGTCAGTTCAATTCCCGGTCAGGGCATAAGCCTGGGTTGTGGGCCAGGTCCCCAGTAGGGGACATGCAATAGGCAACCACACATTGATTTTTCCCTCCCTTTCTTTCTCCCTCCCTACTTCTCACTCTAGAAGTAATAAAATCTTTTTTAAAAAATAGAAGTTAAATATTTAGTACACTAATATTGTAAAAGTCAACCTGAAAAATAATTATATTTTGAGTGATAATTTCATACACAAAGAAGGATACTTGTCTAAGAAAAATATTTAAAGTCCAAAACAAACCAGAATAATATATGTAAATAACTAAAAACTTCTTATTAATCAAATACAATCTGATTTCTCTTTCTCCATTGGTACATAAAGAAAAATTTGAAGTAAAGCACACTCTATACTTACGAAAAAAATTGTAAGAAAAAAATAATAATGTTGTAAAAAATGCTCAAATGGAAGTAAAGGAGCTATCATAATCTCTCAGAAGGGAATATAAGATTTTTATGATTTTAAAAATTTGGGGGGAAAAATACATATCCTCAGTTATGAAAATCAGAGATAAAAAAATGTATGATTTATGGTAAAGTACCTGGCTCAAACATAATAAAATACAGATTCCCTTCCCTAGTTGACTAATTTAAGAAATTCAGTAATTCATGTGATAGTAAGAATCCATCCCTAAAAAATAAAGTTTCCAAAAAATAAATTTAGAATACCAAGATTCACTGAATATTGATGGTTTTTACTATATATGGTATTATCAATGTTAGCATAATTCAGTGAACAATTTTCTTTTTGGTACACACCACATGCTAAACAGGGTAACAGGAACTGGGAAATGAAGATAATTAAAACACATTATTTTTTCCTCAAAGTTCATGGGCCTTACTTTAATTAGCATATGAACCTAAAGTTTTCCTCTAAATGAGTGACATTTTTAAAGGTAGCTTTCTGTTTTTTATCTCAGGTCCAAACTACAATCCTGAGACTAGAATTCCATACCTTTTCTAAGCAGGTCTAATTTACTCCCTCACTAAAAATGTACTCCATTAGCATAGCAAACTGCAGACTGCCCTGCCAATCACAAAATATATTTGGTGAGTAGAATCCCTCTAGCACCATAGTGAAGAGCACAGGCCCTGAAGTCAGGGTCCCTGCATTTGCGTAAGCCCTAGATCATGCTGAATGACCCTATGTAAACGACTACCTTCTTTAGTCACCCAGTTTCCTCTTTTATAAAATAAGAGTACCTACACCACAGGATTATTATGAGGATTAATAAATGACAATTTATGCAAGGGCCTTATAATAATAAAATAAATGTAAGCCATTATTAGTGTAGTCAACTTCTCAAAAGATTATAATACTCCTACATTAGGACAGTCAGAGCATCCCAGGAGCAAATAAACAGAAGAAACATTCATTTGTTCTTTTTATAAACATTCACTAGGCAACTATACCATATGCTAGGCAACATGCCAGGCCTGGAATACACAGTTGTGAATGACGAAGATGTATTTTCTAAATTCATGGCAAATATAAAAGAGTAACACATGAATTAGTTTATGAGGCAACTCAAAATTTCTTTATGCCTGTACTTATTTCATTTTAACAATATGAAAAAATAATTCACAGTACCTTCTTTCTTGTCACTCTGGCTAATTTCAGCATGAGGAAACACTTTTTGCAAGACTGCTAGGATGTTGTTGAAGCTTCTCTCTAGCAGTGGCCTTATGATGGGGGAGAGTGCATGTCCTGAAGACATGACAGCACGCTGGGAAGCAGGCACAATATTCTGCATTGCATGGTAAAAGTCTTGGGCGTTGAGCACTATTGAGGAAACATCTAGCTGCAGTTTATGACTGCTAGCATAGATCTGGGGGTAACGTCTCCGCAGGGCAATCAGAGCAGCTTCGGTGCACAGGGCCTTGATATCAGCGCCACAGTACCCTAATGCACAAAAGGAAAAGGACAACAAAGGTGAGTTCATTCTTCTAAGTACCAACTGTGTTTTGCAAATATAAAAAATCAATAATTATCTGTAATTTTACCAGCAAAATGAAATCTGACCATTTAAAATCACCTAATGAAACTGTTTATTCATTAAGACTAAAAATGTTTTGAATGTTTTAATGAACACATGAACTAATAATATTAAAACAAATCATATATTTTGTGCCATACTAACAATTATAATATGCAACTTTTCTTAGGAAAGGTTTTAAAAGAATAATAGTTTCATCTCAATCCTTCATCAATATCCCCAGTCATTAGTTTAGTCTTTATAACATTACACTTACCTATAAATTTTTCCAATTATTATTAATTTCCAAACACATATAATAAAGTAGTGCAAAGCAGTACATAAGCAGAAACTTCAAAAACAGAGCTATTCTAGTTATTATCTAATTGCCCCAAAAATTACATTTTAAAGGCATGATCATCTCTGATAGTTCCAAAGGTATTAAAGAGAGTAAGAATTCATTAATTTTTACATTAACTTTATATATATATATTTAGCTTAAAATGACATTGTCTAGTTCTAAGGGTCATACCAACAAGGGCATTATCTATTGCCCATATTTAAGTGATCATAATAGTTAAACAACATATCAAGGCCCCGGTGCTCTTAAGTCATTTCACTCATTTAAGCAACAAATGCATACAAAATACACGAACTATTAGGACTTTACCACACACACACACAAAAAGAAAGAAAACTCAAACTAACCATGGTGTTTTTTTACATCAGCAATTAAATTTGCATCTGGCCACCTTTATCAATTATGCCAGCAGGGGGAACCATGGGAACTAGTTATAGAACATTAGTCCCTAAGATCCTCAAAAAGTAGTACCAGGTTTATCTTCTTATACCTCAAAATCACCTCAATGAATACTAAAATACTGAAATAAAAATAGTGGTTTGACAAGAACACTAAGAGGGAAGAAGACATGGCCCTAGACTAAGTGGTAGAAAAAAGAACATTAAGGGACACACCCGTATAAATCGAACTGCAAGTGATTCACACATCTACAGTGAACTACATCCCCAGATCAGTAAGGCAAATGATCCTGCCAATCAAGTCGTACGAATAACAGAAAAATCCTCCTTAGCCTGGTGTCTGTTTTCCATAGCACTCACTGCCTAATCATTTACCTATTAGGTTTACTGTCTGACTTCCCTAACTGCAGTGTGAGCTCTGAGAGCAGGTGCTTTTGTTTTGATCACTACTGATTCTCAAATACAGAGAATGATGCCTGGTTTAGCATTCAGTAGATATCCAGTAAATATTTCTTGAGTAAAAGAATGAATGAAAAGAAAAAATAGTAACTCCAAGGTTATAGTTTGGGAAGGTAAAACTGTTAGGCTACCATGCACTACCAAAAAAAGTAGATAAATTATTTCTACTGAGCTTTTTTTCCCCTAAGAATTTTAAACAATTTTATTATTAAAGCAACTTAATCACTGTGAAACAATTTCAATGAAAATTATGAAAAAAAAAAACAGACAGTGTTGCATTATTTAAGAAATATTTACTCAAAGTTAGGGGGAAATTTAATATGACCTGTAAGAATTTAATTCACAGACAACTGTAAACAGATTAAACATTAACATGGTCCCATCATAGCAATCAATCTTCCAAATAATTCTGCAGAAAACAAAATTTACCACTACTCTTTCATTTTTTTCTATTTCTCAGTGAATAACCCTGAAAAAAGGTATCTTTCCCTGTGCCTACATAGCTGTTAAAATTAGCTCAATAAAACTGTAGAATGACCAGCTCATTTATAAATACTTAATGAAATAATCCATTTCAGAAGAAGTAAAGAATAAACTATCTTCAAACAATATATAAACAACCACATTTCTCTTTCTTCTTTAAAAGTATATTCACAGCTAGTGAACATACTATATGTGAGCTAATTTTAAGTGTAAAACCCAAGTTAAAAAAAATTACTCAGAAAAAATGAAAAAGCCACTGAAAGGTATTTTATATAGGAAATGTCATAACATTTATGTTGGACATAATAATGTTAATAATATACATAATTACAATGTATTATTCATTTACTTAATTTATCAAAGGTAACATAAAAGCTTCTCAATAATAATAGATCCCATTTAAAGAAGTAAATTTTCACACAGATGATCATAAACAATAGACTATAAAAAAATAGGATTTTTCTTCTTTACATTAGCTTGTGAATGAGAATATTAGTTTTTATTTGTGGTGCTCAGCCTTGACTACGCATCTGAATAAACAATGAAACTGAAACAAAACAGATTCCCAACAAACAGTAAATCAGAATCTCTCGTGATTCTGATCACGTTTAATATTATAAATGTATATTTTGAGGCAACTTTACAAGTGAGTCTGATACACACAAATAATAAGACCTACTGCATTAATAATATACTTCCACTATGAGACTCTAAAACAGAATTAAAAGTACATCAAAACTATGACTAAATAGGTTATATTTCAGGTGACCTCATACCCTAGTTTAGGCTTCATCTTGTCATAATTAAGAGCATATTTTTTCACTCTCAGAAGAGTCCTACTCTAGAAAAATAGATGATACAATCATTGCAGAAATACCAAAAATACACTATTGCATTTTGAAAGTTAAAAGTTGATGTTAAGGAAAAAAACCAACATTTCATAACCATATTAATTCTACCACTACAATTGGTACTAATGAATTCTGCCATTACAATTCCATAACCATATTAATTCTACCATTATAATTCTAAACTCTGATGAACCCAAATATCTAGATACCAAAGAAAAAGCATTTTTAAATACTGCTATTAAGATGGAAATTTGTCTGAAATTGAAAATACAAGCTATTCAAAGAGGGTATAGACTAGAAATAGGCAATAATAAAATTTTATAAGTTATTCTTTAAGTAAAACATCAAACATACTGAAGGCTCAAAGATAGATGGCTCAATGATACACTTCCGTTTGTTTTGGCCCTCTTAGTGAAAATGAATTGAGAAAGATGATAGGTTTAAGATCCTCATTAACCTTAAGCTCCTACTATTTGTGCACATGTTCTGGATACCAGAATTATTTGAACACTACTTAAAAATCACACCTATTATGCATGCAAACACTCCAAGCACTTAGGAATTTATTTAAAGGTAACAGCTACCAAATCCACAACCTGTAACAAGAGGTCAGCCATCTTGGCATTTGTCCATCAATACTGCGTGTTCTTTGTTAAACACAAACTGAACCCATACATGCTAAAACATGTTTGGGTTATAAAAAGTGATGAGTTCATGATGAATTTAAGATGTTTTGCTATTTCATTTTTGTTTGAAGACCTGCATTTAATTTTTTCATTTAAATTGGTTTTTTTAATGGAATAAACATCACAAATCAAAAACTATAATGGACTTTTATGTCTTTCTCCAAGAAAAAAATGGTGTATATATAAGCAGATTCTAAACCACTACAACTACCACCCCAAAAAAGGCAAGAAGTATTTCAGTCCTATAGGAAATTATGTCTTAAATTTTTTTTAACTTAAGGAACTGACTAAAAGCCTAAATAAATCACTTGAAAAAATTATATGTAGTGGTCTTTGGAAATGAAAAAGGAAACTGAGATTCTAATATTTAGTATGAAGAATTAGAGAATACAGTATTTCACATGGTAGATAAAGTGATAGAAAATAATTTTATAATACCTATGTTTTAGGGAGTTTCCAAAACTATTTGAAGACTTCTGCTTGTTTCAGTTAAGGACCATTCTGTGACAAACTCACAGAAGAATCTCAAAAGACTTTCCCAGTCTGCTCTGTACTCTAATACAATATCATAAAAATAGCACGAAATAAAAGGGGTCAAATTTCAAAATGGAAAAAGACTGGATTCTGCATCAAATACCACCCTCTCCCATAGCAGCACAGGGCTTTGTGAAGGTCAAGCCAAATGTACATGAAATGGGTTTGGCGCATGCTCTCTGATACCAGGCAAAGCTTAAACTGGAGTAGTGCTGGAGAGATTTACGTTTTCTCCTCACCAGAAGATGTCGAGGTCTTTGAGGTTCAAAAGCTGAGAGATGCTGCTTCGGAGATGGAGGTCCCTGTGGATGAAGAGGATAATTCGGATGTAGCTAACTGAATGGACTAATGTTCTATTTAAGTTTTAATTATTTGATGGTGGATCACAATGATTTTTTTTCACTAGGTTTGTTCTTTTTGGTTTTGGTAACTTTAAAGTTTTTTCCAAATAGGCTGTTAATTGTTTGTGGACTTATTTGGGGGATTTCTTCATAATGTTTTAAAAGTTCATGGAGAGAGGTCTTTTAATTTATATCTTCGAGAAAACTAAGAGGAAAATAGACAAAAGATGGAAAAAGAATGAAGGAAAAAATACATATGTGTATACTCGATTGCTTAAATATGCATTCATTTTATTTTGGACCTGATTAGAGCCAAAATCCCTGAATTATATCTCCTATGTATGGTCATGTATGTAATAAAATACTCTCACCACACCCTTTTAAGACCATGGTATTCATTGACTCTGTGGGGAGATCTTCCACTCTGTGAATAACTTAACATTAAATTGGAAAGTTCTGTATTTGGGGAAACACTAGAGGATGCCATTAAATATGTTTTCTGAAGACTCCTCTCACTCAACTTCATGAAGATGGTCCATTATGAAATCTGCAAAGTAAAAGACTACACAGTCCTGCCTTAGATGTGAACCTTCACCTTTCAAGTTTATACTTACTTTTCTTAGTAAAATTTCTGAAAGGGACAATTCCTAAAAGGAAATACTGTAGTAATATTTTGAAAATCCAAAACTCACTGAAAGGAATATTACTACTGAGATTTGTTAGTCAATCACCTAATGGCAGAATCCTAATTTAGAAGTGTTCATACCTCAAGTAAAATGTTTAAAATAATTTTTACATTTAAAGGTAGAGCCATCCATTGCACAAAGATATAACTATACTCATTCACATTCCAAATATAAGGAGAGAGGAAGGCTGAACAGAGCAAACAATGACAACCAAAGAATTCAAATAGTAGCACTCACCAACACATTTTTCAGCCAATTCACCTAAAAAAGCATCTGACAATTTTGGATTCCAGTCCCTGGTATGAATCTGTAGTATGTGTTTTCTTGCCTAAAAAGAAGAACACAGGTAAATAAATTTCTTAAGAAAAAAAGTACAAGTTAATAAAATATATCAATCCTTCAAATGTTATTTTCTGGAACAAACTATAGACTAAGCTGTATCTCAGAGAAGCAAATGTTTCTTTTTAAAGAATTTAAATATCTCGTCTTCTGCATCAACTCTGATTCCCATAATAACTCTGTGAGCCATGTAGTGGAGATCATGTCTCTACTTCACAAACTAAGGCGTTTAATACTCTGGGAGGTGAAGGACCTTGACACTTGACTAGTGGCACATATGACCAAGTGACTGATCTAGGACTAGACAGATTTCAAAACTAAATTTCCCTTTCCCACCACATCATTTTGACTATTTGAACAGATATGAATAAGAAACTTTGTATTATAATAACCATAACTTTTAGACAAACTTTATAAATTTCACAGAACCTCTGGTTCAATCATATGCGTAAAGTATTATGACTGACAGTGAGCTAAACAACAAGTAATTTAGAATTTTAAAAAAGTTTGAAGTCAAAAGTTTTTAATTAAGTAATAAAATATAATGCACAATATTATCTCGTGTTAGTTGATGCTTTGGCATTGAGAAAACAGTGAAGAAATACAGTGGAGTCACTATGGTCAAGCTGCTAAATTACTAAAACCAACCAGGCTGAGGCACAAGGAAGCTGTTCAGAAGTCCAGACCACTTGATACCCATTATGCACACCTCTGGATATCTGGAAGATTACCATCTCAGACCGATCCAGAAGCTAAAACTGCAAGACTGATTCTTCTCAAGCATGTAGCTTTTACAGTAAGAACTCTCAGACTCTCTTCTTCAGAACACTCTGGGTGTACTGCCTAGTTATATTTCTAATTTGCAAATCCTAGGGCCCTAGAGTACATCTTTGCCATTCATTCCTAGCCAAAGCCTCCTGATTCCTTGTTCATGTCCTTGTTCATGGACATCATTTAATATATAACAAGGTAAATATCAATGGAATTCATTGAAAAAAATTAAAGGTTTAAGCCATTTTACCATGATTTTTTCAAAATAGCATAACCAAAACTTTTAACATTTTTCCCCATAGTAAAAAAGAAACACTAAAGTATAAAAAATCCATAATCAGCTGATATCACCACCATGAAGGGTCATATCAGAAATATTTTTTTCACATTTGCCTTCTTTCAAGGAAAAACTTAAATACCCTTGTTTCCCTCAACACTACTACTTGAGCTTTTTGAGACTATGAAAAAAAGATTATAACCAAGATTTTCATTATGTAATCTTACTGGCTTGATAAGAAATTTGGAGTCCTCCACCAAAACAAACAAACAAAAAAAAACCACAACTTTCAAGTTGTCCAGAAATATCTTGCTCAAAAAGTAAACAAAATCTGGAATCAATAGCTATCGCTTCAATTCCAAGTTCTAAGTTAGGTGTACGGCTACCAAAAATAAAGCAATGATGTGATATTTATTTTCTTCCATCCTGAAGTATCTTAAACAAATACTAAGAAGTCAAGGTCCAAAAAAAATATCCTACAAGCTTATAGATTCTAGACTATGACATTAAGAATCTATACAGAGTTCATTAATAGCACAGGCATAGCTTATACAAGACCTTTAGTGAACCAGAACACATAAGAAAAATTGGCTGGAAGAGACCTCAAAAAAGATCTATTCTTATCTTTTTATTAATTTATTTTTTAAGGTTTTATTTATTTATTTTTAAAGAGTAGGGAAAGAAAGAAGAAAGAGAGGGAGGGAAAATCAATTGATTGCCCCTCACATGTCCCCAACTGGGCACCTGGCCCACAACCAAGCATGTGCCCTAATGGGGAGTCAAACCATCAATCCCTTGGTTTGCAGGCCAACATGAAACCCATGGGCCACACCAGCCAGGATGGTCTATTCTTATCTTCTCATTCATAAAATAAGTACAAGTAGCCCTGGCTGGCGTAGCTCAGTGGATTGAGCGCGGGCTGCGAACCAAAGTGTTGCAGGTTCGATTCCCAGTCAGGGTACATGCCTGGGTTGCAAGCCATGACCCCCAGCAACCGCACATTGATGTTTCTCTCTCTCTCTCTCTCTCTCCCCCCCCTCCCTCCCTTCCCTCTCTAAAAATAAATAAATAAAATCTTTTAAAAAAAAGTACAAGTTTAGAGAAACAAAATTATCTAAGGTCAAAGTTATTGTATGGTCTCTAAGACATTTAAGTGCCTTGCTCTTTTTCTCTATATAATCAATCAGTCTCCTTTCTTTATCATACAGACAAGAAAAAGAATGAAGAAAAAACTATTTAAGTCAAGAAACATTTCATTATGTACCTTATTCTATACTGCATACAGAAGAATAAATCACATGGCTTCCCCTAACAGAAAAGGAGCCTCCTCTACTAAGAGTTAAAGGCAAATTCAAGCCCCTCATTTTTAAGGATTCATAAACACACACCTAACCGTTATAACAATAATTATAGTATTGTTGATGATAATGGAGGAGGAAAAAAACAAGAAATTAAGAAGCATTACTGCATAGAGGAAATATGTGCTATTTTATGCTAATAATTAACAAGTTATTTTATGTTTCTCCCCTTCAAACTTAAGTTCCTAGTGAAGAAACAGTCAATGATTAAACTGGTCAAACCAAAACTGAAAATACCAATTTCAAGTAGAAATAGGGAAAAAGAACTTTGCATAATATATTACATAACATTTTGCATACTCAATGAATATACACTGCCCTGTTTTAATTACACATTCTTTTAAAAACTATACTATAATGAACAGCATGCTGCTTTTAATTAAATATAATGTTATGGTCATTTCTAGGAAAACCTGCATATTGGGCTCTTAAATATAAACTGACCAATATTCTACAAATGTTATTTTTATGGGAACAAAGCTACTTTTGCTAACTAGAGACATATATTTGCCACATAAGATAATTACTACAATCTGGAGAACTAGTGAAAAGAGTAACTAAGCAACTAGAGCAACATAATCAAAAGTTTTCTTCTTATTCCCTAAAAATCATAAACTTCTGATAACATTTAATGGATAAAAGACTAAATTACCTAATAATTACAAGATTTTTTAAAATAATTAACTATGCTGCCCCATAACAACAAAATTTTAAAAATGAAAATTCGTGAAATGCCACTCTCAAAGTTGATACATGTTTTCATAAATGAATCACAAGTAAATCTCAATATATCAAAAACAGAAACTCTTACCTTTTGATCAGGCAAGTTGAAAAGAAATTCTCTGTCAAAACGACCAGGTCTCCTGAGAGCAGGATCTATAGAATCAAGTCTGTTTGTAGCACCAATAACAACAATTTCACCCCTATTGTCTAATCCATCCATAAGAGCAAGAAGGGTTGACACTATGGAGCTGTAACAAAATTTTCAGACAAAATTAAAAATTTAAAAAAAAAGAAAAACTTAAAAACTGCTATTTATACTTTTATCAGTCTTATGATATTTATAAAATTATAACATGAATAGATCCTAATGCAAAAATCAAAAAATATGCAGAAATCATTTTCAAAAGTACTCAATACACTGGTAGACACTTAACACATCGCAACAACAACAAATAAAAGATAAAATGGGCTGCATCAAAATTAAGTTTTTCTGCTTCAAAGGTACACTATGAAGAAACTGAAAAGGCAACCTAGAGAACAGGAGGAAATATCTGCAAATTACATATGTATAGGGTATAGGGTCTAGAATATATAAATAACAATTACAACTCAACAATAAAAGAAAATAACCTAATTTAAAAGCAGTCAAGGACTTCCAGTCAATATGGCAACATAGGTAAACACGGCTAGCCTCCTTGAAAACCACATCAAAATTACAAATAAAATACAGAACAATCATCACTCAGAACCTTAAGAAATTGAGTTGAATGGAGGTCTGACAACTACAGAATTAAAGAAACCACATCCATCCAGACTGGTAGGAAGGGAAGAGACACAAACAAACAGGCTGGTCCCACATCCACGTGTAATGGATAAAAATTCAGGAGAAATATCTTGGGAGTTAGGAGTCCCAGCCCCATCCCAGGTCCACCAGCCCAGGGTTCTGGTGCCAAGAAGATAGGTCCTCATAACTTCTGGCTGCAAAAACCAGCAGGGATTGAGTCAGTGAAAGAAACTTCTGGAGCCCCAAGCAATGCCTTTTAAAGAATCCACATGCAGACTTACTCAAGACTCACTCCCTCTGAGCTCCAGTACCAAGGTTAGCACCTTGAAAGGTGCCAGTGGCATATAGGGAGAAACTGAAGTGTCTGGTATCAAGGCAGGGACTGGAAGACAGTTTTCTACCAGACAGAATGGTGGGCAGATGCCATTGCCCATTTTCTGAACCCTCCCCCCACAGAGCCAGACAGCCAGCATGCTGGTGTCATATCTGAGATTCCATCAACCTGGCTAACACTGTTTGCTCCACCCTGGCGATCCCCTGACACTCCATCCCACCCAACTTATGGGCCCACCCAAGCTGCTTTTCCTATGAAAGGCTTGTCTTGGCTCATACTTTACAACTTCCTAAATTCTCTCAAACAAGCAACAGCTAGCCTCAGTGAGCCCCCAGCTCCCATACCACTTGCTAAGTTGCCCCAGGCCTGGCACTAACAGTGACCAGCCTAAATTCACAGCTTGGCTTTGCCTGGGAATATCCAAGCCCAGCACAAGTAGCAACCATGTCAGATAGCTTTGTAGCTCAGGCAGGGTGGCCATGGGCAAAATATAGGTGGGGGCTGACCTTGGCTTGCAGCACCCAGGAAACCCCATAGCTTCCCCACCCAGTGGATAGCTATATACCATGTTGGAATACCACCACCCTAACCCTACACAGCTGATCACCGTGGAGACAAAGGTTGGTAGATAGTGGCCATGCCAGTCGTTAAAGCTCACTGGCCTGGGTAAATTTCTCCCACTGACCTGCCAACAGCAATCAGGGCTCAACTACAAGAGGAGGGTATACTCAGCCCACACGAAGGGCACACCTTAAGTAACCAGGTAGGGTGATAGGTGACACTGTGCCACCGGCCCCTATAAGACACCTACTACATCAGGCCACAATACCAAGACAAGGAGTCAAAGCAGCTCTACCTAATACATAGAAACAAACACAAGGAGGCTTCTAAAATGAGGAGACAAAGAAATATGCCCCAAATGAAAGAACACATCAAAACTCCAGAAAAAGAGCTAAACAAAACAGATACAAGCAATCTATCAGATGCTGAGTTCCACACACTGGTTATAAGGATGCTCAAGGAAGTTAGTGAGGACCTCAACAGCATAAAAAAGATCCAGTCAGAAATGAAGGATTCACTGATTGAAATAAAGAACAACTTACAGGGAAACAACAGTAGAGTGGATGAAGCTGAGAATCAAATCAATGATTTGGAACATAAGGAAGCAAAAAACAACCAATCAGAACAACAAGAAGAAAAAAGAACCCCCCAAAACGAGGGTAGTATAGACAGCCTCTAGGACAACTTCAATAGTTACAACATTCACATCATAGGGGTGCCAGAAGGAAAGAGAAAAAGCAAGAAACTGGAAATCTATTTGAAAAAAAATAAAGAAAGAAAACTTCCCTAATTTAGTGAAGGAAATAGACATGCAAGTCCAGGAAGCACAAAGAGTCCCAATTACGATGGACACAAAGAGGCCACTCCAAGATACATCATCATTTTAATTTAATAATTTTAATTCAAAGTTAAAGAGAGAACCTTAAAAGCAGCAAGAGAAAAGCAGGTATCTACAGAGGAGTTCCCATAAGATCCTCAGTTGATTTCTCAAAAGAAACTCTGCAGGCAAGAAGAGATTGGCAAGAAATATTCAAAATCATGAAAAGCAGGGAACTATAGCCAAGATTGCTCTACCCAGCAAAGCTATCATTTAGAATCAAAGGACAGTTAAAGAGCTTCCCAGAGAAGAAAAAACTGAAGGAGTTCATCATCACCAAACCATTATTTTAAGAAATGTAAAACTTAGACACATGATCCATGAACATGAACAATGGTGTGGGTACTGCCTGAGGAAATGGAGGGTACTGGGTGGAGGGGGGCAAAGGAGGAAAAATTGAGACAACTGTAATAGCATAATCAATAAAATAACTTTTTTTTTAATTTTAAAGTAAAACATTTATATAGATATTTCTCCACCAAAGATATACAAAGGGCCCATCAATAGTCATTAATGACATCCAAATCAAAAACAAATGAGGCACCGCTTTAAAATCACTAGCATGCCTAGCTGGTGTAGCTCAGTGGATTGAGCCGCAGGCTGTGAACCAAAGGGTCACCAGTTTGATTCCCAGTCAGGGCACATGCCTGGGTTGCAGGCCATGTCCCCAGTGGAAGCCAAGTGAGAGGCAACTACACATTGATATTACTCTCCCTTTGTTTCTCCCTCCCTTCCCCTCTGTGTAAATAAATAAATAATCTTTAAAAAAATAAATAAACCCACTAGCATGGTTATAACAAAAAAGAAAAGACAGATAATAACAAGTGCAGATGAGAATGTGAAGAAAATGGAGCACTCATGCCCTGTTTGTAAAAAGGTTGTGCCTTTTGGAAAACAGTCTGACAGTTCCTTCAACTACTAAACAGTTTCCATGAGATCCAGCAACATCCACAAAAAACTTGTACACAAATGTTCATAGTAGCCTTATTCTTAACCAAAAAGTCAAAACGGCTCAATATCCATCAAATGGATAAACAAATAAAATGCAGGATATCCATGAATAGAATATCATTTGTCAATAAAAATAAATGAAGTACTGATAGATGCTACAACACGGATGGACTTTGAAAACACTGTGCTGTGTTAGGAAGCCAGCCATTAAAGTCTACAAACTGTATGATTCCATTTATGTAAAAAGTAAAAAATGGGCACATCTATAGCAACTCAAATGATACTTCTGGTTATCTAAGGCTCGGTGGGGAATGAGGAGGAGGTTGGAGAGTGATGGCTAAAGGGTATGAGGTTTCTTCTTGGGGAAATGAAAATGTTCAATAATTGATTATGGTAATGGTTACACAACTCTGTAAATATACTGAAAGCCACTAAATCACAGCCTCAATGAGTGATCTGTATTGGGAACAGTAGCTCAATAAAGCTGTTTTTGAGAAAAAGAAATACTTAGGTTTTTTAATAGCAATCTTGAGGGGCAATGTCTGCTAATTTAAATTATGTTTAGAATGCCTAATAGCCAATTTCTTTAGAATGGCTACATTTTCACAACTGTCTATTCAAAATCATTTTGTGCACAGTTTAGATTTTTAAACTATGGCTTTAAAAATTACTGAATAGAAATGTTTCATGTCTAATTATAACATAACCCACAGTTCTAGTAACAATGGTCTTAGTGTTTTCCAACTGTTCTCACTTCTATCCCTTTATTTTTAGTACTAACACCAACCTGAAATAACTTCTCCAACACGTTTGACATGTTTAAAAAAACCATTCTCACTCCTAAATAAACTAACTGTTCTACCTGTGTTTCCCAAACCTATAAAGGAAACCAAAATGCTAGAGACCCGGTAAACATGCAGAGGGAGGATTCACGCTCATTCTTTTCTATGGAATAACTGAAAATTGACAACGGAAGTGCCTCACTCGTGATACAAGGGGTGAGAAATAAGCATCCTTAAACATTTAACCTCAAACTTTTCCTTAGTATTTTCCAATCCATGGGAGACATTTCAAATGTTTGTTAGAATTTATCAACATTTTTAAGTGTTTTGTACAAGGCTTATCAGAAGACAAAGTCTTAAACATGGCCAGCAAGAGAATTACACCATAGCTTAAATTCTACCAAAAGCTGCCTTTATTTTAAAAATTTAAATTCCCAGGACCTGGATCAGAATTCTTTAGTAACGCCTATTATGTTTAAAGTCCAAACTACTTAATACTATGTTTGAGGCTGACTAGCCTGCCCTAACCCTTTCTTTTACATTATCTTCTAAATGTATTTGTATTATCTTTCAAATACAGATCTAAAAATCCAAGTAGAATTGTTTTATATGCTATGAAGAAGAATTCAGTTTTATTTTTTTCACCAAACAGAGACCCAGTAGTCCCACAGTTATTTCTCAAAAAGGTCATCCTTTCCCAATAGCACTGCACTGCCTGTTTTATTATAAATCAAGTATTCAAATATGTGTGGATTTATATATGGCACTGGGCTCTGTTCCATTAGACTATTTCAGTCATTTTCAACGAGTGAGCTGCAAGAATTTTTAAAACATGCAATTCCTGACTGTTTAGTCAGGGGCACTGACCTCTTTTCCCACAGATTGTCAAATTAAAAAAAAAAAAATGACATTTTGTCATATCAGCAAAAACCGTATTTTTTGGTGTGCCACGGAATTTT